CTGCCCTCCGGGGGCTCACCATCTCAGGAAAGCCAGACAGGAAACAAGAGTGTTCTCTCAGTGAGGCCTGAGGGGAGGCAGGGAAGGTAAGAGAGGATCCAGGAGCCAAGTCCTGCATGTTGAGTGGAGCTGGCCAGTGAGAGAGAAGGCAGGCGGGCGAAGTAAGCATACACACACCCACACAGTGATACCCTCGAAGGCTCACAGGGGCTGGTGACCACCATAAATCCGAGTCTCTCAGCGACTGCCTGACATGGCACCTCTGTCAAAGTTCCCACCCACACTCCCCCAAAGACCTTCCAGCAAGCCCCCGCTCCTGAAATGTACTCAGTCTCCCCCAAGAGCCTCCGGAGATGTCAGTCCACCCCCATGGACTGTGCCTTTGTGATCACACATGTGCACTCCCACTCAGAAACACCAACATCAATGTCTTTCTCAGATTCAAAATCCCTTAAACCATCCAATTCCCGTTATCTCCCCGAAGGCCCCACGTGCCCCTCAGGCGACCCCCTCCTCCTACTTTAATTCCCCTTTAGACACAACCATGGGCCTCCACAAAGTCCTGCCAGGCATTCCCCAACGTCAGCATTTCCCTATAAGAATGTGCCCGAATAAGGTCCCCCTACAGTGATCCCACCCCGCACTGCGCAACCCTCTCCAAAGGCGCCCTAGAGACCCTGCCACACACCTCTACTGTCCCCACAACTCGCCACGCAAGCAGACTCCCCAACCACCCTCTCTCCTGAGGCCCCTCCACAAGGATCCTGCACGCACAGTCCTTGCCCCAGCCTCTCTCAGGAGCAGATCAGCAGACGTGGATTTGCATACCGGCTCGAAAAGACCCTGGGATAGTTAACACACCTCTCTGACCTTCAGTTTCCACCTCTGAGAAATGGGCACGATAATTGTTGATCTCAGAAAATGGAGTGATGATCAGGTCTACCTTAATCCAAATGCGTCCCAGTGGAGACTCAACTTCTGCCAGGCCTTGTTTCAGGAGCTGGAGATATGGAGGTGGCCCAAACCATCATTCCTACCTCTCGAGAGAGACTGGAAGGGGCGAGATGCTGAGGTGTCCCGTGCAGAAGAGTGTTAGGGCCGTAGTCCCCTTATGCCCTCCCAAGGCTACCCTTATAGTAGCCCCTGACCCACCTCAGCACCCCTACGGCCCCTCTGGTGGTCCCAATAAAAGCTTCAGATATCCCTAACCATCCCGCTCTCCTGAACCCTAAAAAGACTTTCTCTCACACTGGAACGTTCTCAAACTTCTGTACCCCCGAGACACACCCATGATCCCCCCAAATAACCTTAACTCACCCTGTTGTTAAGCCTCATGAATCCCCAGCTCCTTTGAGCCCCAGTAAAGGCCCTCTGCCACTCAACGACGTCCCCAGAGCCTGGTGATAGCTTCAACAGTAACCCCCAAATCCCAGCCCCCAGCAACCGCTTCTGACGACCCCAGTGGCCAACCTGTCACATGTACCACTTCCCGGTGCCCTCCAACCCTGCCGGACCCCCTTCACCCAAGAGTTCCTCAAGGCCTCCTCAGACACCCCCACGACGACGTGTCATCCCGTGAGATACCCAGCGCTCCTGCGACCCCCTCGGAGAGCTCCCAGTGACCCTGTCGCCTTCAAGCGCCCTCTGAATCAGTCCGACACCCCCACAAAGTCTATCTCGTACAAGAGCTCCCCAGCGACCCAGGGCCGCCCCAGACATCCCGGCGACAACTTTACGGCACCTGCGAGATCCCCAGCGCCGCAGGACGCCCTGGGACAGCCCCCAGCGACTCTATGACCTCCCTGCACCCTCTGCCCTCGGGGACCGGCCGAGAATGCTCACCAGCGGCACCACTGACCGTGGTGCTGGCGTAGGTCTTGCGGTGGCACTCGGTGCCATCGGGGATGTCCAGGTATTGCTGAAGAAGCGTCCGCGCCATGATTGCACACCCCTGGCCCCGCACAGTACAGCCCGCCGGCTCCCCGTGTCCAAGGGCAGCGGCCCCGCGTTCTCGCGAGACTTCCTGGGCGGCGCGCGCAATCTCTCGGGCGGAGGGGCCGACAACAAGCGTGCAACTTTATTGAACACCGCGGACACAGACACGGTCGCGCGCACGCGCCGAGTCGGGACTGGCGTAAAGGAAGCGCGCGTGCACCCCCAGCCGCCTTCAAGAACGAGAAACTGAGGTAAGCCAGAATCAGTGAAGGCAGATCTCACCAGTTCCAACTCAGAAGGTCCTAGGTTAGGAAAGGTTGACACCCGGAGGTGGGGCTTAATGCAGGGGAGGGACTATGACCGGTTCTAGGCCTATCTCCAAGCGCAGATTCGGGCGCGGGGCGGGGCTCCACTTGATAGGAGCAAGATGTAACTCCGGGGCGGGGCACAGCGCAAATGTGACCACTCTCAGCGCCAGAATCTGCGTGAGTATGGGGGTCTGAACCGCGTGCGACTATTTTGGGGCGTGGCCAGGTTCCAGGGCGGGAAAAGGTACCGATCCCAGGGCTAGGATTTTATAGGGACGCCACTCGTGCTCACCTTGTGACCGGCTTGTCCGAGCCCTGGAACGGAGGAGGTCCGCGCTAGACTGGGGGGCGTGGCCAGAACCGAAGACACGCCCCCAAGGGACTTGGCCGAACCGGAGCTGTACGTTTGCTTAAGGGGCGTGTCCGTGGCCTTCCGGGTGGATCTGAGAGAGGCGAAGCCTGGAGCGTGGCCACGCTTGCTGGGCCGCAGGACCCGGACTAATGCTTCTGGTGTTGGTTCCTCAGTGGAGCGGGGCCTGTCTCGAAGGCGTGACCAGTCCCGTTGCGGGAGCCTGAACAGGGAGCGCCATCGAGGACTCAGGCCCACCTGGAGGCGTGGCTTGTCAGAACCTTGGCCAATCTTAGAGTTAGGCCGGGCTCAGGGGCGGAGTCTTGAGGTGCCGGGACCAGTGAGGGTGTTTGGGTTTGAGGAGGGCGCGACCCATCCTGCCGCAGCCAATCGCGCCGAGGTTCTGAGGGGGGGGGGGCTTTGGGGGCGGGGCCCATCGGGGGCAGGGCCCAAGGGCGTGGCCGGGGCCGGTTCCGGGCCGCCGGGGACGGGGTCGGGGCCATGTCGGCGCCGCAGCCGCTGCAGATCCGCGAGGCGAACGCACACCTGGCGGCTGTACACCGCCGCGCCGCGGAGTTGGAGGCGCGGCTGGACGCGGCGGAGCGCACAGTGCGCGCCCAGGCCGAGCGCCTGGCGCGCCACGACCAGCAGCTGCGCGCTGCCCTGGACGAGCTGGGCCGCGCCAAGGACTGGTGAGGCCCGGGGCCGGCCCGGTGGACTTCTGGGAGGTGGGCGGGGGCGGAGCGGAGATGGGAAGGTAAGGAGAGGCGCGGGAACCGCATGCAGTCACGTGTAGGCTGCACTCCTGGTGGGATTGAAAAAAACGAACACCCCAAACCTCGAATTAGTCACCAGCATGCAAAGTTAAGAGGTGTCACACAAGTGCGGATTTCTAAGTTAAAACAGAGCCCATTTTTTTAAAAAAGATTTTATTTATTTATTTGAGAGAGAGAATGAGAGAGCATGAGAGGGGGAAGGGTCAGAGGGAGAAGCAGACTCCCCGCTGAGCAGGGAGCCCGATGCGGGACTCGATCCCGGGACTCCAGGATCATGACCCGAGCCGAAGGCAGTCGCCCAACCAACTGAGCCACCCAGGCGCCCAAAACAGAGCCCATTTGTTTCCACAATGCAAAATTGGCTCTTTCCGAGTGGTGCTGGGGTCACCGACCTCCTAGGCATTGAGATCCATGGCAGGTTCTGGAGCAGAGGAGGCTGGGATCATACCAGCCGTTTTTAAAGAACCCCTCTAGTTTTGAAGAGGGGCTGAGGATCGAAAGAGATGAGAAAAGTGCCCAGGGAGGAGGGAGGTCCGGGGCCCAGGTGGGAAAGGAGCTGGTTGGATTCATTCATTCATCTTTACTGAGTACCTACTATGTGTCAGGCACTGTGCTGGGCACTAGAGCACATAAGTGAGACCTACTAGCACAGTCCTTAGGCAGGTACATCACTAGGCAGTTACGACATGGGGTAGTTGGGGTCGTGATGGAAGGGCACATAGGGTTCTGAGTGGGCCTAGATGGAAGGCTTCCTGGAAGAGGAGCCATCTAAGCTGAACAACAAATAGGAAAAGATGTAGGGGACAAGGGAATTGCAGGGGAGTGATTAGGGAGTTTTCGTCTGCTTTGGCTGCCATTACAGAATACCACAGGCTGGGGGTCCTTAAACAATTGAAATTTTCTCCTCACAGTTCTGGAGGCTGGAAAGTCCAACCGACAGATTCAGTTCCTGGTGACAGATTCTCATCCTGGCTTGCAGATTGTCATCTTCTTGCTGTGTGCTCACATGGCCAGAGAGCAAACTGTCTGGTGTCTCTTCTTACAAGGGCACTAATTCTATGAGGGCCCCACCCTCATGAGCTTATCCCAAAGGCACCATCTCCAAATACATCACACTGGGGATGGGGGCTAGGGGTTCAACATAAGAATTTTGAGGGGACACATTCAGTCCATAACAAGGGGGTCTTGGAGAAGTGGTGGGGAGCTTGGCGTTTATCCTCACGGTGATGGGGAGCCCCGGGAAGTCAGGGGCAGGGAGGAGGAGAATTGCTGGTCCCCTCAGTACCGTAACCGCCCTGTCTTGCCTTCTGCCAGTGAGCTTGCCGCTCTCCAGGAGCAGCTGCTGACCTCCGAGGCCACTGTCCGCAGCCTGCAGGCTGCTGTGCGTCAGAGGGATGAGCTCATTGGGCAGCTGCAGCCCCGGGCGGAGCTGCTGCAGGACATCTGCCGTCGCCGGCCACCCCTGGCCGGGCTGCTGGCTGCCCTGGCGGAGGCTGAACGCCTGGGGCCCCTGCCAACCAGAGACCCCAGCCACCCACTCCCTGGTGGGCCCAGTCCACGCCTTGCCAACAGTACTGGGGCAGAGGAGGACAGGGACCACCTCCAGCCTGCAGTGTTTGGGACCACTGTGTGAGCCCTGGGGCACAGATAGCACAATGGAGACGGAGTTCCACTGCTGTGGGTGTCCTCAGGGGTCACCAGTGTCCCAGAGGGGACCCCGTGGCAGAGCCATAATCCTTTCCAAGCATCAAACCTGCTAAAAAGTCATAGGTTTCAAACAGGCAGCCCAAGGGCCAAAGGCATATGGTTAGCCTGGACAGGTTTTTTTTTTTTTAAGATTTTATTTTTAAGTAATCTCTACACCCAATGTAGGGCTTGAACTTACAATCCTGAGATCAAGAGTCGCATGTTCTACCAACGGAGCCAGCCAGGCGCCCCTTGTTTTGTTTTGTTTTTCTTTAAACAAAACTTTACATCAATCAACTTGTTGAAAAATTGGCAACGTTTCACAAAAATCTGGATTGCTGGCTTCAGTCTTGGCCATGCCTGCTTGGATCTGAGCTCAGGATACCCTCTTTAGCCAAAGTGTGAGGTCCAGTTGGCTCCCTCATCTCTCTCAGGGCTGGATGTCTGGCCCCTGAAGTATCTGAGTTTGAGATCTCTCTCGCTCATGGAGGCAGATGTATCAAGTTTTTCTCCCCCTTTTCCCCCTGCCCTGATTTTCGTTCCTTCTGAAGCACCCCTCATCCTAGGCTAAAGCTTTTTCTTATTCTTCATCCCATACCAGAATTGGGAACCTCAAGCCTTGTGCTGTTTTGCACTGGTGCATTGGTTGTATGAAGATGGATTTTTAATCCTAGATTCTTTCCCCTAACTCTGTCCTTCCCTCAACGTTTAACCCAGAAGGGAGAGTGCGTGTGAGACATGCTGACATGCTGGTGGCCAGGCTGTGCTGCCCCGGGGAAAACTCAGGCATCCCTCAGCCTTTCCACTGGCTGTTCCCTCTGCCTAGACTGCTCTTCCCCCGGATGTCACATGCCCCGTTCCTTGTCACTCAGATCTTTGCTCAGATGTCACCTCCTCAGGGGGGGCCTTCCCTGCCTACCTTATTTGAAGTAACCCCGGCCCCTGCTCTTACCCATTCTGTTTTCTTCATGGGACATCCTGTCATCAGAGTGTAAGCTACCTGAGGGCAGGGCTTTTCTTCTTTATCACCAGCGCCAGGTGCACCCTGGGGCCTCGGTAGGAACAGGACGGGGTTTGTGGGCCCTGAAGGGAGCCGGGGACCCCTAGCACATCTGATGAGGCCCCAGCCAGTTCAGCTTTTGTAGCAAGCAGCCCGCTCCTTTTTTATATTCCCTAGAGAATTTATTTTTAAACTCATTTCTATGCTGCTCTTCTTGGCCAGAGACATTCAGGGTGCTATTATTTTCTAAATCAAACCAGGGTACCCCGTGCCTTTCTCTGCCCAGCCGAAGTGCCCAGCCTGGTCTCACACTAGCCCTTTTCCCACCTACTTACTCAGGGAACTGTCACACCAGGAACCACTGAGGGGTAGGGCCCATTTTGGCCTGGAAAAGTTCGGGGTCCGTCCCCAGCCCTCAGGATGGTGCAGCCTGCCCGCCTGGCATCTAACAGTGACCCCTCAGTGCAGTAACAGTGGCCCCATTTTCTCTGGATAGAATAAGGGGGGCTGCTTGTACGAAGGGAAGGCAGGTTGAGGCCTGTCTGAGCTTAATAAATTGGATGATTTCCTGGCCTTGGTCCTTCCTCCTTTCTTCCGGTGTGGGGGCTGGAGAAGTGGCCTGGGTGGGGTCCTGCTGGCCGGGGAGACACAAAGTTACAGTCACGGGCGCTTGTATCTAATCTTTGCCACCCAGGCTTGCCCCGTTTTATAGCTATGGAAAGTGAGGCTCAGGGAGGCGAAGTAAACCGGCCTCGGGTCGGGAGGGCCACTTGCAGTTTTTGGAGGGGTTACTCTTGATATCCTGATGAAGATGAGGAGATGCCAAAACAGAGTTACAATAACTGTGGTTATATTTTACACTTTTCTATGGAAAAAACTGATTTTTGTAACCCTCATGAAAAATGCAATGGAGTAGTTCTCTGCCTCCTCGAAGAGTTATGGACTGCAGCGAGCCACCAGAATGTCACTGCAGTTTCTCCTAACACTGACGGTGTCTAAGTCCAGGCTTTGAAAAGCCTCTGGTGACCTCTGGGTCTCTGCAGTGGATGGGTCCCCAAACGGGGCCCACGTTTTAGCCCCTGGGAGATCCAGCGTCATTTTCAATCCTGTCATTTGGTGTAACGCTCTTAGTCGATGTCTCGATCGGAGGCCTTCTGTGATTATGGCCTCGGTGCTTCTTGGATGGCGTCGGGGGCCAGGGCCACTTCTTCACTTGGTACTGCGGTCCCCTGGCTCCCCCAGCTTGTTAGGAGCAAAACCACCACGTGTTGTTTGAGAACTGAAAAACCAACCACCAAAAGACCCACATCGACAGAAATCTCACACTGGCCCCTGAGTAACTACCAGGAACTGCTTTGTCTGACTTAACGCTGGAAACAGTCTGTAAGACTGCTGTGTCCTGGCTCAGCCACACTGGTCTGAACACCGGACAAGGGGACCCGTGGAGCCCAGGGAGGGGAGGGGAGCTGCTCCAGGTCACATAGGAATTGGGTCTTAAGCCTTCTCGGCATGGCCTTGCCTCTCTCCATCCGGGACACTCTGGCCACTTAGGGCTGTGGCCCACCCCCTCCTTCTTGTGGCCAGGAAGGGGGACCGCCCCCAATCCCCATCTGGGTCTGGCTCTATCCCAGACCTGGGCACTGTGAGGCTGGGAGTGAGCAGGGCAGAGGGTGGGCAGCGGTGCCAGCAAAAGCACTGGCCTGTCCCTCCTGGCCCTGCCACTCCACCCCCCGGGGCTGTGCCTATCGCTGTGAGGCACTGGCACAGTGTGGGTTACAGCTGGGGCCCCTCCCAGTCTCCTGAGCCACCATCCCTTAGCAACAGGCCTGCTAGGCAGGACACACTGCCAACGCTGGGCAGAGCGGGCAGGAGCCAGAGGGGTGGCTGTCTGGACTCCAGGACAGTTGAAGGCCAGGTAAGCAGGTAGCTGGCCAGGGCAGGGTTGTGGCACCGGCCCACAGCCTGGTCAGCCGAGTCGGAGTCCTTCCTCAAACTCTCCTCCAGCCAGTTGCCCAGCCAGCCTGACCCGGCATGGATACTGTGGACGCCACTGTGGAGAAGCTCCGGGCACAGTGCCTGTCCCGAGGGGCCTTGGGCATCCAGGGCCTGGCCAGGTGAGCTGTCCCCTTGAGTCTTCTTGACCCCCAGCCCCAGGGGCCACTTTTTAACTGCACCCCACGCCCCTCAGATTTTTCCGCCGCCTGGACCGGAACCGGAGCCGATCCCTGGACTCTGGGGAACTCCATCGGGGCCTGGCTGAGCTGGGGCTGGTGCTGGACAGGGCCGAAGCGGAGGGTGTGTGCAGGCGCTGGGACCGTGATAGCAGCGGGATGCTGGACCTGGAGGAGTTCCTGAGGGCCCTGCGGGTGAGGCCCTTTGCCCTGCTGTCTGGGGGGGGGGGGGGTGCCGATGAGCTCTCCGTGGGCTTGTCGATGTCAGTGCTGACCCTGGATGCCTGGAAGCCCTGGTGCTCTGCACTAGGCCCCCCAGTCATGACCTGCTCCTTTCCAGCCCCCCATGTCCCAGGCCCGGGAGGCGGTCATTGCAGCTGCGTTTGCCAAGCTGGACCGCAGTGGGGATGGTGTGGTGACCGTGGATGACCTCCGGGGGGTGTACAGTGGCCGTGCCCACCCCAAGGTGCGAAGTGGGGAGTGGACTGAGGAGGAGGTGCTCCGCCGCTTCCTGGACAACTTTGACTCCTCTGAGAAGGATGGGCAGGTGGGTGCCCACAGATACCCCCCACCCCCTCTGCCCGGGTCTCTGGTCCCTACTTAGAGCCCATCTGCCCCCAGGTCACACTGGCTGAATTCCAGGACTACTACAGCGGCGTGAGCGCCTCCGTGGACACAGACGAGGAGTTTGTGGCCATGATGACCAGCGCCTGGCAGCTGTGAGCCGTGCACACTTGCTCAGCCAGCCCCCCCCCCGTAGTGGTAGGCCCCCCCCCCCCCGGCCCCCCCTGAGCCAGGGCCTCTCACCTGGGCTTCCAGCCAGGCAGCCCCTGAGGTGGAGGCCCCAGGACTGGTTGGATCAGGTCTCCGAGGACCCGGCTTGGCCACCAGGGGCAAGTGGGACAAAGTTTCCAAGGATGGGTCACTGGCTCAGGACCCCAGGGAGCAAGGCCCTCCCTGTCCATGCTGTGCAGACCCCCCTCCCCTCCTCCCCCCAGGAGCCACTGTTTGCAGGGAAGCAAACAGCTCTTCTGTAAAGCAAAACTCAGCAGGGAGGCGGCCAGTCTTGGAAGGCAGCCAAGTTTGGTCACCTGCCCGGATGTGGAGTGTGGGGCAGGGGCCAGGGGCCCGCAGACAGGCCAGGTGGCTCTGGGAAGTGGAGGCTGTTCCTGGCCAGGCTGTCCGGCTTCCTGAGGCCCCTGGGGCATGCAGGAGGCCAGGGTTTTAGTTAAAAGTTTTAATGTAGTTCCCAAATACATTTCATATGACAATCTTACATAAATGTTCCAAAACACATGGGCATTATCTGGTTTTACTTGTCACTACTTGGCTAAGGCTTAAAGCAGAGAAGTGTGACTGGATCTGCTGGGAGGGCCTTTGGCGCCTTCCCACGGCTCAGGCTGCACACAACCGACCCAAGGTGTGGGTGGCACAGCTGTGGAGACAAGGCCTTCCGCTCACCCCGAGGGCGGGGCTGGGCACTTTGCTCGGAAATCCCTCGGAGCCCTGTGCACAGGGCCCTTCTTCACAGGCCGCCCCAGGTGGGTGAAGCCCGGCTGGCTCCTGGCCATGCTCCAGGGTGGGGGTAGGCACAGCACCCACTCCTGTGTGTGCTGCGAATGTGGCAGACGGCCGGTTGCCTGGAACCAGCCCCCTGCCCCCTCCTCGAAGGTCCCGCTGAGGTCCCCCTCTGCCTCTCACAGGGGCCCCTGGTCCTGGATGGTCTTGGGGCAGTGATGTCGTCAAGGGCTGGGCAAGGAATGGCCAGCAGCAGGAAGGTTTGCCTCTGGGTGCCACATGATGGGTGACCGACATGATGGGAAAAGGCAGGAGGGTGGGTGGGGACCCACCCAGGTCCAGTGACCCTTTTTTAGATAAGCTCTTTCCAGGTCTGGGGCCCAACCCCTCAATACCCCACAACTGGGCCTGGAGCAACCCTGGGTGGGGAACAAAGTGTGGGGGGGTGACTCCCACCCCAGCACAGAGGCCAGGAGCCCTGGGAGGAGGAGGATGTGGCCCAGGACAGAGCTGTACCCACTCAATGCACAGCAGAGTCCGAACCTAAGAAACCAAACACAAAGCCTTGGGGGAAAAAGATCTAAAAATATAAGCCCCAAATCAGAGTGTGGGAAACTGGAAAAACGGTAGTTAGCAGAGCGTCCAGCAGGCCCAGTGTTTATACTTGTGTGGACAGACCCGGTGGCCTGGACGGGCGACGGCAGAGAGGCCGGGGACACGAGGAGGGAGGGGTGAAGAAACAAGTGTCCCAGTCCCAGTGAGAAGCCGTGACAAGTCTTAATGTGCCATTTCAATTCAAAGGAGGGGAGGGAAGAAATGTTCTTTTTCGTTTTGCTCATCAATATGATGAGGTCTCGTGTCCCAAACCACATTCAGGCAGTTCCCGAGTCTGCTTCTGAACGGGACATGCGGATCCGAACTGTGGCCAACCCAGCGGGGAGTGTGGTTCCCGAGCCCTGCGCCTCCACACTGCTGGCGGGGCGGGCGGGCGGGCGGGCAGACAGACGGACAAAGCAGCAGGCTCGTGGGCAGCCGGCTCCCGGCGCTATGTGCTTCCGGCCGTCTGCCCCTCCCCTTCCTCGCCAGCACCTGTTGGGAAGCAGCGGCCTCACCGTCAGGTCCCCACCCTGGCTGGAGCCCCAGCCCCTTGGGTCAGGCTCCCCATCCCCTCCAGGGCTGGGACCACTGGCTCACCGCCTCCGGTGGCCCCCGATGGAGCCAGGACGTCCTCGTCACTGTCGTCCTCGTTGGACGGGGCTGCCCCAGGTTCAGGGGCAGGCATCTTGGCTTCCTGTTCCTGCTCCACACGGCTGCGCAGGGCCAGGATGCGGTGGTGCAGGGCTGCATACAGCTGGCCCGTGTCCTTGGAACTGGCCTGGGGCAGGCAGAGGGAAGTGGTGGGTTGGAAGATCTCTTGGTCAGGGTGGCTGCTGCCCTCCTGTGGTGGAAGCCATAAGCCCCGGGCTGTGTCTGGGCCAGAGCCCAACCCTCTCTCCTCAACAAGCTCAGAGACAGCGGACTGAAGCTCCTGGGGCCCCAGGGACCGTCCTTCCCAGCGGCTTGCAGAGCTTGCAGCTGGGATGGCACTCGGTGATGCAGGCCCACTCCTGTCTCTCTGCCACCGATCCGTCTGGACACTGGCCGGCCTAGAGGCCTCCCTCTTCGCTCCCTGGCCCACACCCTCAGAGTGTCGACCGCTGCACCACAGAGCACCCCCCAGAGGGGCAGGACTTGGTGCAGCCCTGCAGTGGCCCGACTGGGTGTGCCCGGGAACCTCCCTCCTGTGGGACTCAGGAGGGCACGGCCCTTGTCCAGGGGTCTGTCTGTTCGGGCACTTCCTTTCCCCAAGAGGTCGGTAGTAGCCTGTCCCGGCCCCAGGGCTACTCACTGAGATCAGGAAAACCTTCACGCCCTGGTCCTCAGTGTCCATGGCTGTGATGCGTATGCTCTTTTCACTGGCCTTGTCAATCTGCATCTGGGCCCAGAGCTTGGTATTGAGGATCAGTCGCAAGCTGCCCTGGGTCCGCATCACTGCAACCGACAAGGCCACTCAGCCCTGGCCCCTGACCCCCACCCCACAGCCAGCTATGAGAACAGACACATTCTGGAATGAAAACACCACAAGGGCGAAATCCACAATTCTCTCAAGGTCCACATGAGCTGCCCACCAGCCTGCTGAGCCACAGCACCCCTCACACTGGGGGCCAGCCCTGTACCACCCAGTTCCCCCATGGCCACGTCCATCATGGGGAGATGCCAGGATGGTGGCTCCCTCGGAAGGGGGATGATTAGGTGGGAGGCAGGGCCAGAGAGTGACATTTGGGGGCTGTGTGCCCCCTTTCTTCATGACAACTGTCTAGAAGTTGATGCCCCCTGATTGGCCCCACTCACAGGCCGAGCCCCAGCCCCTACTCTGCAGTTTTCTTAGAAAAAAGGTTGAGGCCCAATGGCTGCTTAGAGCTCCCAAGAGGGAGACAAGGACAGACTGAGAGCAACATATGGTGGAGAGAAAGAGGGTACAGACCTTCCTCCTTCTCTGGAAGTACATATCACATCTCCCCAAGGCCGCTGTCAGCCTGCCTGGTTTATCAGAGCTCATCCTCCCCGCAAGTGCCCTGACCTTGTGGTCATGGTGACACCTTGTCTTCCCACCAGCCCACTTCTCCCCACCCCAACCTGGGCCCCCAGATGGCCCCAGATGGAGCAGCATGGGCCAGCTCAGGGAGGCTGCGGGGTGGAGTCCTGGGCTCCAACTGACCAGATCTCCCTGTGTCCACTCCCCGAGCCCTCTGTGCCCAATGGGCCCACCTCTGAAGTGCACATGGAGTAGCTGGAACAGCCTGGGGAAAGGTCTGTGGCAAGGACCACAGGCTGTATAGGGCCGTTTGATTTTTTATTTCCCCTTTCCACCACAAAACCACCAGCACTTTATTAGAAAACAAGTCCAAGAGCTGCTGAGTTGTTTCATCTACTGTCACACTCACAAAGAGGAGAGTCACAGAAGAGCTGGCAGCGAGAGCCTTGGGATGGGGCCTGTGCCTACAGGCCGCCGGTGCTGGGGCTCTCCAGTGGGGACCTGCGTGGGGATCCTGCCCTCCTGGGCCTTGGGAACTCTGTGCCATCCCGGGCCCCCTCCAGAGGCACCGCACTGCAGCTCACCTAGTCGAGACTGGAGCGTCCCGTCGTCAGTCGATGCCATGTCGTTGAGCCTGAGCAGCCCCCGGCCTCTCTCCACCCACGACTGCGAGGCCTTGTCAAAGACAAACAGCTTACACTGGATCTGGAACACAAGGCGGCCCTCTGGGTGAGCGGGGCCCTGGCTGGGTGGACACTGGTGTGGACAAACTCCGGGGAGCCTCAATCTAGCCTGGGTGAACTACTAGGTGGGGGTCAGCCAACGATGGCCCAGGGGGCACATCTAGCCCTTGGCCAGTTTTGGGTCCTGTTCTCCACCTCCGTTTTACATTGTCAGAGGAGCACGAAAGAATCAGGAAGGAAACGAAGATAAACACCAGATACCCACGAGATACCACCTTGCACTCGCTAGGATGGCATCACAAGCCAGGCAACAGCAGGTGCCGGGGTGGGGAGGCAGCTGGTGGACAGTCAGCAGCTCACATGCGGCTGGCGGGAACGACACATGGCATGGCTGCCGCGGAAACATGTCCCTCACAGTGTTACATGTGGAATCGCTGTGCGGCCCAGACACCCCACTCCTAAAGATCTACCCAAGAGAAACGACACGCATCTGCACACGTGAGCCTGTACACAATGTCCACGGTAGCATGATTCATACTAGCTAAAAGCTGGAAACCTGAATGTCCCTCCATGCACATCACTTGGCACTGCCCCGGGAACGGACCCCAAGCCCATGAGGCTCAGGGAGGGAATGAGACACAGAAGGACACAGGGGGTGTGAGTCCACGTGGGGACAAGTCCAGAACAGGCTCATCCACGACAGGAAGGGGGCTCGTGGGGGCCGGGGAGGGCATGAGAGGTGACTGCCGATGGGCGTTTCTTTTTTGGGGACTAAAATGTTCTGTTCTGATAGTGGTGGCAGCAGCATAACTACGTGAACCCACTAAAAACCACTGAACTGTACACTTTAAAGAGTGAATTCCATAGTGTATCTATCTCAATAAAGCTGTTCTATAGATAAAAAAAGAATACGCAGCGGAGACCACGCCTGGCCCTTCAGAGTGTGCGGCTCTTTACCAAGTCACTCTCTTCTCTTGTATAGATTTCACAACAGTGCTGAGTGGGCAGAAGCAATAGTACTTCTAAAAATGCCACATCAGAAACTCCCCAGTGCTCTATACACGCAGGTCACGGACACACATGCATGCGCACAACAACGCAAAGCAGAATGAGACACACTGAAGCGGACGTGTTGCCCCGGGACGCAGAGAAAAGGCGGGACAAAGTTTGGGGTGCATCCGGAATCCCGGTTCCCTAATAAAATACCATGGGGTGCCAGTGTGACCAATCACAGCCATTCATTCTGGGTGCATTTACAACAGTTTCTCCCCGAACTATCGAGAATGCCTCAAAAACAGATCCTTCTGCTCAAAAAGAAAGAGACTTGAAGTCCCTTAGCGCTCACTGAACTCTAGAAGCCTTGCCACAAGGTCCCGGAGGGTGGCGCACAGAGAGGCTGGGGGCTACGGCTGGCCTCTCACACCACCACCTAAGGGCCAGGAGGCCCACTGGAGCCAGATGCCCCCGGGCCAGGCCCGCCTCACCTGTAACACGTTGCTCTCCGCCTCCTCCCCGGTGATGACTTCCACTTTTTCCAACAAACACTTCCGTGCTGTTGCCTTGGTGTAGGCGGCTGCCGACTCGGCCAGGGACTCTGAAATGTTATTAGCTAAACGACATTGACTATTTATTTGCCGGGGTGTGTGTGTGTGTGTGTGTGTGTGTGTGTGTGTGTACCTCACAGGAGACAGAACAAAAGGGTTGGCTCTGCTTCAAGGGTGCCGGCTCCTGGGACATGGAACGGACCCCAAACATAACAGCGATCTGGCCCTGGATGCTGTGGGGAGACCATCTGGGAGCTAGTAGCCAGCGTGGCTCCAGATCTCCCACTGCCATTCATTCGGTAGAGGACAGGAGGACAGCAAAGGGAGTCCTCCCACAGAGCACCGAAGAGAAACTCCCTTCCCCCACCTCAGGGCAAGAAGGAAGAGAGGGACAGCCACCTCAACAAGCCTAACCCCAGAGTCATCCTGAAGCGCCACGGCCTCTCTGTTTTAGGATGAACACGTCCCCTCTCTGCTTGCTGAAAACCAGCACCCCTGGCTTTCCAATTCTGCCCCGGTGGCTGCCATGAGCTGGGGCCCATGTCCCTCCTGGGCGGGGGTGTGGATGGACAGTGCCCGTCACCTGGTACCCTTCCCACGAGGTGGTGGGACCGCAGCATACCTTTCTCGGGGGTGGCCTCCTGGGATGAGGACTCGGACCCGGACTCAGCAGCTGCGTTTTCCCTGGTGGCATCTGAACTGACTTCATTTAATTTAGGTGGGCTCTGCAGGGAGACGGAAGCACACGGGGAGGAGAGCATGTTGGAGTGCTCCTGGTGGGCCGGCCGCCGCGGAACAGGAAGCCCCTCTGCTGGGATGGTGGCTCTCGGCACTGTCTCCCGGGCAGAAGGCTTTTTTCTGCAGATGGCCTTTCCTTCACAGCTTTGGGGACCCACCCAGACCCGGCAGATGAGACTAGACAACCCCTCCGCAGGGGGTGCGTTCCAGCCTGGGGCCCTGTCTCCACACAATGATCCTCGAGCATCATGTGCTGGTAAAACCTACAGAAAAGCGCCCTCACGATGCAGGCAGCTTGGCCCTCCCAAATCCACCCTTCTCTGCTCTAGACAAACTGCCCTCCGAGTCCCCAAGTGGGGCCTCCCCTGACATCTCGGGGAGATGCGTGCCACCAGCTGTTTATCTCTGTGTGAGGCAGCTCTTGGACCAATTCGTTGTAACAGGAAAAGGACAGTATTGATGCTCGAGAAAAGCAGCAGGAAGCTCCTTAATGTAACGTAGACTGAGACAAAGACAGAAATAATGAAGTGGGATGAAACAGCTCCTTAACCACACTCACAACGGACACAGTGGGATCCTACGCATTTGACAAGGAAAGAAAAGGAACAAAAATAAGGAAGCAGGTAAACAATTCTAGAACCCCATCTCAAGCTGGCCAGGCTTTCTGGGAGAGGAGATAGTGTGGTCATGGTGCGTGCAGGAAACACCTGGGACACTGCAGGGGCCCCTCCAAGGCCACCTCCCCAAAGCCCCCTCCATGCTGCAGCCTCATGGTCAGGGACAGGTGTGTCGAACTCCCTTGGCTCCGGAGGAGGCTCAGGATTCCTGTCAGATGATTATCATTGCAGCTGGCCTCAGCCAGGAGGAAGCATGGCCCCTGACTTAAGGGGAAGCCTGTCCTAGGATGAGGCTAAGCTAGCTGGCAGAGAAGAACGGCAGGAAGCTCGAACACCAGCTCCTAGAGAGCCTCCTGGTGCAACAACGCTGCCCCCAAGTCTGAGCTGGGTCTTCTTTCTCTTGCAACTGGAAGCATCCCCACTTTATAGGAGACAAGGTGGCAGCCATATTCACATGTCCCTTGCCCTGGGGCCCCAGAAAAAACAGTCCCCACAGGGGCCACTCACCAGCACACGCTCGCTCATGTTCTGGCCAAACACGAATTTGTTGCTGGCGGTGTCGGCACTATTGGTCGAGTTGTCTAAACTGAAGAGAAGGCATGCTGTGGGTGTGGGCACCCCGTGGGAGCGGGGAAGGCAGTGGGCAAACTTGCATGAGCTGCACACACATGTGAACGGTCAGAGTGGGTAAGGCAGAAAGCATAGCTGTGGGCACTGCTCAGCCTCCCCTGTGGGGGATGGGCCTGGCACACCAGGGACAGGTGCTCACAAGCCTCAGAGCCAGGGGCCCACTGCATGTGGGTGGGCACTACATGACATGCCTGACAGCCACCTGTCATCCCCGACCTCCTCGAGGTGGGTGTCACCATCGGAGTGCATGAGGACAGCGCCTCAGAGAGGCTGATCACAGAGGTCAGACCAGGTACCACCTGCTTCCCCGAAAGAACCCACCAGTCCCTGGCCTGCACAAAGGAGGGGACACTGCCCACCCCTGGGCCATTGGCAGGTAACACTGGATGGCCTCAGAGCTGCTGTCACCATCACATTTCGTCCAGTTTAAGATGTCACAGCTCTAATTCCAATTTGGGAAATGCTGCAGTGCAAAAAATGTGTCTTTAAAACAATATCCAATGCACTTTGCTAATCAGGGTCCAGGGAGCCAAGTGTGAGGTCACCACCATTCATGCCAGGCCTCTCTGAAGTCCACGCCCAGTTCTATGCACTCTACTGGCCTGTCTCCTAGGCAGGGACACACTTTCTCTCTGAAATATCCATGGGGCACCCAGGCCATTAGTGAGCACCAGCAGTGTTGACCACCGGCGAGCCCAAATCCAGGGTAAGGGATCCCCACAGGCCGGAACCTGACAGGTAACAGGAAGCAGCCAAGCAGCCACTGGCCCACTGGGTTCTGCTCTGGGCATGAGATCTGAGTGACAGAGGTCACTCTGGGGCCAAGCAGAACTTGGGTCCTGCCTTGTCTGTCTGTTGAAGCACACCATCCTGGCCACTCCACAGCTGTGCCCAGAGTGGGAATAAAGCGAGGAGCCAGGGGGTATCCAGGGTTCTGGTGAAATCTGCTGCCTCCCACCCCCACCCCGGCGAAGGACCAGGCTGGCTCCTGGTCCAGCTGCTGCCTCCTCCCCGGGCCCCAAGCTCAAAGCGATGGGACAACCCTGGGCTGCTCTGAGGCTAGGCACCAGGCCCAAGACACACACCTGGAGCTGATATACTGAAGGAAATAGTTGGTCGCAGTTGGCGTTTCTGAACTGGGGTGTCCAGCGTTCTCCATGTCAGCTACTTCAGTGTTCTCATTTGTTAACTGGGAAACAGAGAGGCAACACTTACTGCTCAGACAACCGCCTGTTCAGGACCTTTATAGCTCAGCCTGTCTGTACCCCTAGGCCATATGGCACAGCGTGCGTGCGTGCGTGCGTGCGTGTGTGTGTGTACACACACAGAGGTGGGGGGGGGCCTGTAATCAACTTCACCATTTAACAGTTAAGATAGAAAAACAGTTCATAAGGCATCAGGAAACTTTTTCTACCTTGTTAAAAAAACAACAACAAAACTCTCAGGTTGGCATCTTATTGCCCTTTCCACCAATACTCTGTAATGAGAGGTCACAGAATGCTTCCAGATCCGATATTTTAAGGGGTTTATTATAAATATAATAAAAGCATTGTTTCTCGAGGGCTTCTTTTATGCCAGCTGACTGCCGCGCCAGCTCTGTTAAATCTTTATCATCGAACCCTGAGAGGTGGGTATCATTCACCTCGTCCTATGAGTGAGAAAGCAGAGGCTCGGGGTGCCAAGAAGTCGCCCCCACCGAGAAGCTGGCATGTAACTGTGAAACCACAGATCACGTGAGCCCTGTGCCTCCTTAAGACGTGGCCCCCATCCCAATTTCAAGGCAGCTGTCCCCCTAAACTCTAGGAACAGAATCAACCTGATGGCCCAGGCCAGGCCCCTGCTCCCCAGCACCGGGAGATCTCAAGGCTCTTCCTTCTCTTGTTTCCTCCTCCCTGGAGTGAGCCAGCCCCCAAGGGACTCATTACTTTGGCTAAAGCCATGCAAGAGCAATGCCTATTTTTCACCCCTGGGGATTTGTGTTTCTGTTGAACAGTCAGCACCAAAGAAGAAAACAAATGGCACAGCCTGATGTTTTCTACGTGCCGGAGAGACTTTCATTCCCCTTTTTCAGGGTTTCTCCCCCTCAGCATCACTGACATCGGGGCTGGATCATTCTCTGTGGGGAAGCCGCCCTGACACCGCGGGGTGTTGGGCAGCATCCCCGGCTTCCACCCACTGGAGAGCAGTAGTACCTACACCCTGGTTGTGACAACCACAGATGTCCCCAGATGCAGCCACTGATGCTATCTCTCAGGCTTTTAAAGGAGCTCCTGCCAGACGAGCTGCTGGAAATGGCACAGAGGGACGCTCCATCCCAGTGGCTGGAAAGGTAGTGCTGCCCCATTCTGGTCTCCCAGACCGCCAGCGCACGGGGTCCAGAGCCCAGACTCCCCGCCACTGCCAGATGCTCTCCCCGCTGACTCAAAGTCCCCAGACTACACCAACAGCCCTTGAGGGCAGCCAGGAGGGAACAGAGGCTATTGCCTCTGGTGGGACAGAAAAACTCTTTTCCCACCTGCCCTACCTTAAAAATATAAGGTAATAATTCTCAATTAAGGGTGACTTGGTCCCAAAGGGAACCCTCAGCACTATTAAGGGACACTTTTGGTTGTCACAACGGGGGGCGGGGGATACTCCTGGCACCTGGAGGGTGGGGGCCAGAGATGCTGCCCAGTATCCCAGAACACCCAGGACAGGCCTCCAACAACTAAGAATGAACCAGTCTAAATGTTGCTTAGTGCCAGGACAGAGAAGCCCACGAGTTAGGCAACAACAATCTCTCCAGCGACGCTGAAAGCATCGGATCGTGTTGTCTCCTTTGCTACGAAAATGTTGGTTCTCGCCATGCTCAGTTGCCTCCCTGTCCCCCGCGCCCGGGAGAACGAGGGAGCCTGCCAGGGAGTGTGCCGGGAGCGGGAGCAGTGCAGCATGGAGGGCATGCAAAACAAGAAGCCACTGGAAGCACCACGAGCCACAGGAGCCCACAGGCACATTCTCTGCCTCCACCTCCCCGCCCTTTGTAAGGAAAAGCGGAGTTCCCGTTGTTGAACCTGGAGCAGGCAGAACAGACCGACTCATGAGTGCCAGCGCTCATCCAGGCCCCTGATCACACACCTTGACTCTGTCCCTCAGGTTCTGCCCGAACACAAACGCCTGCTGTGCAACTTGCTCTTTTTTCTCACAGTTTTCCTCCTCACAAGTATCGCTAGACTCATTTTTCTGGGGCTCTTTCTCCTAGTTAGAAACACAAACAAGACGACAACTGAAAAGAAGTGACAGGTTAGCCCCGAGAAGCGAGATGGGCCATCTCCCGCCATTCCATCTGCTCGCCGGGTCTCCTGTGGCACCGGTTCCCGGGCAGCTGCTGCTGCCCAGGTCTGGCCTGCCCTCACATCACCAGGGACGCTGGAGGCGGCAGGGCTGGGCTGCTTCTCGGCCTCCCTAGCTACCCAAGTTTCCCAGCAGCAGCAGGCTGCAGAGATGGTTCCTAATTTTAATTCTGCTAACTGGTTTGAAGGTCAGGGTGGGGGGTGGGGGGGGGGTGGTGGGCTCAGGGATGTTCTAAAAATGAATTGTAGCCAGTCATTTCTACCATGTGTACTCCAACATCTCTGGGGGGGTGTGGGGGAGGTGGAGGGTATAGAACCTCAGGCAGCAGCTTAGCTGCCAAAACGGCCAAGTAGAAATAAACACACACATGCAACCCGGCTTTGTGTCCGGAAGCCTTGGTGTGGTGCTGCGACTCGCATGTCAAATCTGCCTCTGCCACCCGCAAACGCAGGCTCTTCAGAACATGCCCCTCACTTTTCAGCTCCTGGGCAATACTGCTAGCAAACACATGCTCTTGGCCTAAGTAATCTCAGAACCCTAGACTTTGCTCAAAAAAAAAAAAAATTTCTGAGCTGACCCCCAGGCAGCTTTCTTCGGTTAGAACGGGCCCACATACATGAATCCCCGAGCTGTTCAGGCGTGGAAGCAGGGAGGCGAGACATCTCTCCATATAAAACGGCACAAGCCCTCATCAATGACAGCCATTCCTCTGGCCCTAGGGACGTCCCCGAGGCCAGCGGGCAGAGTGCCCGTGGGCACGCCAGCCCCCCCCGCCCCCCCTGCCCCCCTGCAGTGGGGAGGTGCTAGGCCCGGGCAGTGCAGCAGTCTGGAACGGCGGACAGACCATCCTTGGCATTCTAGCAACTACGGACATCGGCTGCCGCTGTGCACGCGCACCGCTGAGCAAATCCAGAAAGCCTTAGCACGGGCCCACGCTGGCACCGCTCGGAGCAGGTAACTGTCCACACGCTCAGCGAAGCTCCGAGAAGTTTCACGTGCTCCCTGCCCAGCAGACACACCTCAAGTGCTCGCGCCTCATCGGACGGACTTCTGCGTGCAGGGCTGTCGGCCGATGTCGCTGTCGCGGCCCCCGTGCGGTCTGCCGGGACGCTGACCCCGTTGGTGCCGCTGCTGGCAGCTGCCGGGATAAGAGCACAGCGGGTGGTCGCGGGCTCAGGGCGGGACCTCGGCTGCCCCCCCACAGCTGGGACCAACTGTGTCATTTCTCCTTTTTCAAGAAAAGGAGCTGGTATCATTACTGAAAATCACAAATTCTTCCATTAAAAAAACCCAAGCGAGCCCAGAACTAAAACCTCACAGAAGTGAGACAATCTTGCTGCTTATTCCACAAAGAACTGTATGACTTTTCAGTGTACTTTAGAAGGATACTGCTAACTAAGGTAAAAAAGAGAAAAAGAATATATATTAAATAAGGAGCAATTATGAGTTTTATAAAACACACTTTTACTCATAACATCTTGATTCTCTGCACTTCGCCCTATGAATAGTTGAGATCACATGATGCGCACAGCTTTAAATCTGGCTGACTGGGTGGCATAGCTTATAAAAAAGCTTTCCTGTTGAAACTCTTTAGAAATACTATTTCCCTCATGTGGGATGTTGGATTGCTTCTGATGAAGATTTTTGAATTACAGGGAGAGACAAAGAGGAAGACAAGAAAAGGTCATTAATACTAAGAAATTAAGGGTCAACTGAACACCATGACCTGTGCAGAGATCATGGAAATATGGTTTAAGAGTCAGAGGTCTTACGGGTGGCAGACCAGATGAAACTGCGCACATAACCAAAATGACCCTTCAAGTCTCTCAGACACAGAGGGCTGAGTTTTGCCTGCAAACGTGCTGGGATGGACTGGAGACACTCTGGAGGGAGCCAGCTTTTATGAAGCCAGCGTGTGCAGAAAGCATGGTGGTCACCTTGGCCTGCTGTCTTCCCTGGGCTCAATGGGGACTTAAAGGATTACTTCCCCAGCACTCTATTTCTTTCTTTCTTTTTCTTTTTTTTTAAAGATTTTATTTATTTATGTGACAGAGAGAGAGAGAGAGAGAGAGAGACAAGGAGAGAGGGAACACAGCAGGGGGAGTGGGAGAGGGAGAAGCAGGCTTCCCGCTGAGCGGGGAGCCCGATGCAGGACTCGACCCCAGGATGCTGGGAACATGACCTGAGCCGAAGGCAGACACCCACCCAGGCGCCCCCCCCAGCACTCTATTTCTGAGTGCATTCAGCAGATATGGCCAAAGTCACCTGTGTCGAGACACAGCTATCCCGGGCCAACTTCAGGAAGACTCTACACCCTGCCGTGCGAGCCTGGGCACCAGGGCCATTTCTTACCGGTCTGTGAGAGTGCCTTTGGCTGTGGGGCTTGTAACACTGCCGGGCGAAGCACACTCCGCTGTTGCTCCTTGGGCTTCTGGCTCGGCAGACCTGAGAACAGAGGTTGGCTTGCCTGCGGCCCTCGGACACAGTAGGCAGAAACACACAGCCCCGTACGGGCTCTCAGGGGCTTTCTGGAAATTAATTCATTGAGTACAGTAATGCTATAGGGGGAACCAAGGGACGGCTGTCCTCAAGTGCTGGGCTCAAGGATCAAGGACAGATGGTGCAGGGAAAGCACAGAGCCACAGGCAGCCCCTCCGAGTTTAGGACTCTGCTCGGGCTCACATAAAAATACCCTTTGCACCTGCTTTTCAAAGTGCCACGCTGAGAAAATCCATCTGCCAAACACAAATTGGGCAAGAAGCACGAGAGAACGCTTCCAACTCTGCACCACTGCCAGGCCCTGCTCCCCAGCGGCACGCCACTGGATCATGGCCCCTGTGCTCAGGCTTACTCTGTGGCACGCCGGGGCTGGAATGCTCTGGAGACAGCCTGAACCAGCTGAGCTATCGCTGGGCACAGAGCCCCACACCAAGCCAAGTCTGCTCCCTCACCACCCACCCCCCCTCCTCAGGGTGGTGGAGGGCTCACAGAGGGGAGAATTTCCTTGGTCTGATGGGCTCCTTAAAGTGGCTTTTCGGTGCTCATGTGCCAGGTAACCGAGATGACCTAAGAGAGCAGACTGAGCCTGAAGCATGCCGGCTGGGCTGCCTAAGGCAGCTGTGCAAACAGATGCTGCAGAGGCAGGAAGGGTGTGAGACAGCCCTTCCACTTTCCTCCTTAAAGGCGGGCACCTACCTGCACTGGGTGCCTGGCCGTGGATCAATGTTGGTGGCTTCAACCGGAATCCACTGCTCTTTTCCTCTACAAGCACAAGACAAAAGATAAAAAGCAAGCCTGCCTAGGGGGTAGAGGTGGGGGCAGCAGCAAAGCTGAGAGGGTCAAGGGCAGGGGAAGACTCTAGGTCTGAACCTCAGTGGCCATGAGCCTGGAGAACCAGGGAAATGTTTCCAAGTTAAAACAGAAATGCCGAAGCCCGGTTCAACCACCAAGGTTATAAGGCAGCTTGGACGAGGAGGAGCCAGGGAGTTGCAGAAAGTGCTGGCTCCAGGCCAGGTGCTGATAATGAAAGACCAGGGGGGTGTTGAAGGTGAGAGACAAAAGTGACAGTGAGTGCAAGGCTGGTCCACCCCTGGGCCACCTCACCCAACGGCTTGCCAGGAGCCATGCCGGGCTCACAGGCCCTGGAGAATGTCAGGGAGCCACCCCATTAAGGCCCCTGGGACCGGTCTCCTTTTCTCAGAGGACTTGTCTTGTCAGAGGACGCATCTGCAATCAGGAGAAGCCTCTGTACTACCAGCAGATGTCTGGGAAATGAGACACGTTTCTGTGGTGAAAGATCAAAGGTGGCAGACGGCCAGCTTGCTCTCTTTTTCCGGATGTGCTTGGACAGCTTCACCTTGTTGCTGAGAACACTGGAAGGCCGAGGACAAGGAAGGGGAAGGAAGCAGGGCGATGGCTCAAAACCTGGTTTCAATGGGGCCACTGGTCCACACTGGTCATCTGTGTGTGCGGGTGAGGTGGCTGATCTCATAAGGGGCAGGGAGTGGGGACAGTCTAATCTGCCTTGACAGGAAGGATCGGCATAAAAAGCCTTGTGACTCCAACAGTTAGGTCTGTTCCTGGGGCAGCACAGGGATGGCACCATTCTGGGCCACCAGAGGCAACCTCACTTTTGTGATAAGGTCCTACTCATCTGAAAAAACCCTTGTCAGCTGCAGGGAACAAGATCAATACACAAATATCAATTGTGTATATCTATACGCCAGCAATGAACACTCCAAAAATGAAGTTATGAAAACCTGTTATTCCATTTATAATAGCACCAAAGAGAATAGTACTTGGGAATAAATTTAACAAACAAAAACTCTAAAACATCGTTGGAAGAAAGACAAACGGGAAGATGTCTTAGAAGATCACACAGTAGATGATTCTATTTACATGAAATATCCAGAACAGGCAAATCCTTGCAGGCAGAAAGTGGATTCTTGGTTGCCAGGGGCTGGGGGAGACACGGGCAGTGAGTAACTGCTCATGGGGATGGGGTTTCTCTTTGGGGTGATGGAATGATCTAAAATTAATTATGGATGGGACGCCTGGGTGGCTCAGTTGGTTAAGCAAGTGCCTTCAGCTCAGGTCATGATCCTGGAGTCCCGGGATCGAGTCCCGCGTCAGGCTCCCTGCTCAGCAGGGAGTCTGCTTCTCCCTCTGACCCTCCCCCCTCTCATGTGCACGCTCTCTCTCTCATTCTCTCTCTCTCAAATAAATAAAGAAAATCTTAAAAAAATATATTGTTAAAAAAATAAAAAAAATAAAATTAATTATGGTGATGGCTGCACAACTCTGTGGATACACTAAAAACCAACCAACTGTACACTGAAACACCACACATGCCTTCTCAGACCAAACTCCTGAGGCATAAAACAAAGTCAAACGGAATTCTCAACAAAGCAGGAGAGCCTTCTTCCTGCTGTCTGGGGTTGGTCAGCCAAACTGATCTCCTTGGGCAAAAACAGGATTACAAAACTCTTCCCTGCTAGTTAGTATGAAGGAGTTGAGTTCACCAGGCTTCCAAGGCCTGTGTAAGTGGAGCTGGGGTCTCTCCCCTAAGAGAGCGGTCATAAAAACCAGGCTCAGGAGAATCAGACACCACAGATGCAGGGGAAGACATGCTGCCAGATGTTCCTTTTTAGGAGAGAAATACTGAATCACATTTCCAAAGCTCAGGACTATTCAGAAGATGACTGGCAATTTACAAGCGTTAAAAAAATTTGAGATGAAATTCACAACTGAGATAATTTTTAAGAGGCCTTACAGCTGGCTTTGCAATGCTTACGATGTGGCTACCGATTGATCTCCACCTCTCTGCTCTGTGTAGAGCAACACCAGCAGCAACCGACTGCAGCCAGCTTAGGCTGACCAGTGGGGGCGCAGGCGTGGAGGATCACTGCCACAGAGCATCCGCTAGCACGGGCCTGGCACCTGGCCCACCCCGCAGACGCACAAGAAATCACGCTGGATGCTGCAGTGAACAGATGACAGACAAGACAGACAAGGCATGCCACACCTGTCATGGCAACTGAGGACTGGGGACAGAAGGAGCCCAAGGCAGCAGGGAGGTGTGCTCACAGGACAGCCAAGCTGAGGCGTGCCTGCAGGCCCCATCTTCACAAAAATAGACGCTCTCTTTTCATGGCCTCAAGAAACTCACTTTACCTACAACATGGCCTGGGTGCAATGAAAAGCTGTTGCTGATGGCCAGAGTCCTAGCACACACGATAGAGTCACCGGGCTGCACGAGTGACTGGCCTGGTGTCTTCTTGAGGGTATACGCGTGCCCCACTGTGAGCTCACTGGGGTAAGAGGTGGTTCCCTCTGAAGCAGCTTTCGCCCTCCTCTTAATCATGCCTAAAGCAAGTGGGCTCCTTTGAGGGTGCTTTCTGCCCTGCCCTGGGAAGACCCCAAGTGACGTCTGCAGGGAACAGTGCTCACCCCCAGGGGAACTTCAACTTGGTGTATACCAGAGGTTGAAAAGGCTCTAAGAGGAGACAGCCTGGCGGGGGCTGGGTGGTGCTGGGGCAGATGGGAGGGTGCTTGGCATGTACAGGGCCGGGGGGGGGGGGCGTAGAGTGACGGGACACGCCCTGCAGACAAAGGGAGCCAGGTTTCTGTCAGAAAGATAGGTAGAATTAAGAAGCAGGGAGGCTCAGGTGAACCCTACTGGTGCTAGATGGGAAGTATACATGTGAGCCCAGGGTTGCCTGCACACGCAGACAGATATAGATGAAGAAACGTGTGTACGTGTACACATGGATATGTGCAGAGGTACGGGGGTGTGTGAGAATCCCAACAGCGGTGAGCTGGCCGAGCATGCAGATCTTGGTTTCTGGAGACCACTCTCCACTAAGAAGGACCCCTTTGAGAAGGAACCCTGTGAGAGACGATGATGAGTCTGGAGGCTCTTGTTAGGACAGAAGAAAGTGCCTAAAAAAATAACGCGTCGTGACAAAAGGGCACAGGAACCTGCTTGGTGGGACTCCCGCTAGCCAAATCTGGGACAATTAAAAGAAATTCTGTACTAATAACGACAGAACGTAAGCCGTTGACTAAAGCAGGAATCCATGCATCGATTTTGCTGTACAATATAACAAGGGGCTAAGTGGGGAGAAAGAATAGCTCTCTTACAGAACACCAATGAAGCGTACCAGTAACAGAGAAGGCAGCCCACCCCCACTCCCCACCCCCCTGCCTTTGGTGATGGATCGTCAGAGTAATGACTCATCCGAGCAAGAGAACATGGGTGGAGGCAGACACTGGCGGGGAACAGTGAGAGGAATGGGCTTCTCTCTCCAGAAAAAAAGGGGATGATCTCCCAGCGGAGAAACCAACAGAGCCCACTCTAACCAAGTGAGCCAAATTAGCCCCACAGGTACCAGGACAGGTAAGCACCACGTGCCATCTGGGACGGGGCACCGTGAAGAGCACAGCTTTGCTTCTGTGGAATTCTAGCCCCAAAGGCACTACCTGGGCAGAACCAACAGGAATCGCTGGACAAACCCAGACAGAAAAACTTCTCCAAATTCGCTGGCCTGTAATCTTCCAGGCCATAGACATCAAGCAAAGAATGAGGAAGTAGTCTAGATGGAAAGAGAGATACGGGGTATATGATCCGGGATCTGACCCCTCTGCTATGAAGGACAGCGCCGGGACAACTGGGGAAAATCGAATGGGTAAACGGATACGGAAGTGCTTTATACAATTCTTCCAGAAGTTAAAATCCGCCCCCCCACCCCAAAAAATTAAAGCTAAAAAACAAAAGGCAGACAGGCAAGGACAGAAGAGGCCTGATATGACTCCAACCTGCCTCAGGGACCAGGAAGCGAGGCTGCGTCGGCGCCCCTCAGCAGGGCTGGGGACCCTGTTTGCTCAGGGCAGCCCGGCTCGCAGTGCTGCGGGATAAAGGAGAGGGCAGTGAGGCCGTCACTCACAGGTCTTAGAGGTGATGATGTTGAGATCAGTAATGGAAACTGACAGCACGAGGCGATCTAGACGCGGCTTCAGCGAGTGGCCCCCTGGACCCCAACAGGATCACCTCAGCTAACACCGCCCCTACAGCGCACAGTGCTGCTTGCTAAGCCGGCACTCCAGGGGTTCCCACGGACCGCTGACACACCGAACTTCTCCTCAGGGCTTAGTCAGGGGGTCAGCTCAAAACAGTTTGCTTTCAGAGTCAAAATTAATTCTATTGTTTGAAATGGTGCTATTGAATCAATCCCCTAAGTTATAAAAACATTGCCCTCCTGCCAGAGTATGACTTATCTCGCAATGCTTTTGAAGTAGGCAATGAATTTATATGAAGCAGGTTGGGTTACAGAATTCGGGTAGTTGAACTTGCTCATTAACTCCTTTATGAGGAATTTCAGCCACGTGGGAGAAACTTTCAGGAAACCTTGGAGTTGGATCTCTAGCAAAAGACCAAAAAAGGAAGGCTCCATAGTCTTCAGAGGGGAGCAAGCTACTTTACTTCAAGATTTAATATGCTGTGATTAAATATGCTTACATATTTATCTGAACAGGTCTAAGCAATACTGATTGATGTGAGACTCTAATGCACAGAAAAGGGGTCTGGAAAATTCCATTGACCTCACACAGTTACCTTGGGGTGGGAGAGGGAGACGGAGAGGGGTAGGAAGATTCTTTTACTCTATGTAGTTCCCATTTGCCTTTTTAAAAAAGTGGTATGAATGTGTTACTTGTGTACAATTTTGGAAAAACAAGTAATACACCTCTTTATAGTTGCTTTTTGTTTTTGGGAAAAAAACCCACAAAAACCAAAGAACAAAAAAAAATCAACCAACACCTTAAAGATTCCTTGTGACCAGGCCCTCCTGCAGAAACAAAAAATTAAGGGCTTATGAAGCTTGCCTCACAGTGGATTCCAAGTCTGAGCTGAAGATTTGGGAAAACATTTAGGAACTGAAAAAGAATCCGGTTTTCAAATTGCCTGTTCCTGTTTAAGATCTTATTTTACAATATCAACTGTTTTTCATCCCAGGAAAACCCCCAGTGACTGGTAGTAAAAGGCAAAGGGACATGAGGGCTCACCTGGTTCTGAGTCAGAATTGCCTGCAGATGGCTCGCAGAAGGTTGATGGCATAAAAACATTGTTTTTTGATACTGTCGACAAGGAGGTGCGGGCAGGGAAGGGAACAAGAGAAAAACAGTGTGAGTAGGCAGGGCACACATGCACCCGATCACCTCTCCCACCTGAAGGCTCGGTCTCCAAGCCACACCGTAGGGGCTCAGCATTACGAACCAGGCCTTTGTGGTCTACTGTGGCCGCCTAGCTTGTCCTCATGCCCCTGGCTTTTTTGTGGCGCTGGAGGCCCCAATGGGAGCAGCAAGAAGGGAAGCAGAATGAACTGGGTGTTCCAAGCCTCAGGCCCTGCTTCTTGTCACCTGCCAGAGGCTTGCTGGCTGGCTGCACCCCCAGCCCCTCACCTGTTTAGGATCTTACTTTACACTTATCAGTTGCTTCCCTGGGTGTAGGCCAGACAGTAATGCAATGGGCCTCAGAGCTGAAGAACTAACCGGGTAGAGAGAACACAGCTAACCAGAATCAGAATGTAGGGCACCGACCACGCCTTCCAAGATACGGGCTCCGTTCCTGTCTCTGGCACCCCTGGCGCCGGAGAGCTATTTCCTATGCCAGTGCGCTAGAGCAGAAGGGAAATGCTTGGCTGTCCTTTGTCCCTACTGCCTGTGGCCATAGCACAAATCATCTCTCCTCTTCCGAGGCACCTTCTGCCACAGGTCATGGCACAGCAGGGCGCGGTGACTGGGAAGGAGCATAACCGATCACCAGGGGGCAGAAGCTCCCTTGTTTCCTAGGAATGCCCATATGCAACTGGGGAGAAAAGGAGGGCTCCCCAAGCCCGACTGCTAACTGTCCTGATGGTTCCTCAAGGCCTGCTTAGCAAAGGACAATGTAGCCATTCAGGAGGGTCTCGAGCAGTCATGAGAAAGGGTGTGGCGATGTCCACAGTGAGTGTTAAGGGAAACAGGAGTGAAATCCAGTGTGTTGCAGGGAGGATCTCGAAAGGACACTCACTCTCTACATGGTGCCCCCCTGTCATGTCTGCATCACTTCTGTAAGCAGAAACAACCTTCCAGGGCGTCTTTTCCCCTTAAAGTGCTGTCCTTTAGGTTCACAGGTATAAAATGCTTCACATAAACCTCCCAAGAAGGAATGCCAAGTTGGGTATACTGGAGATCCTCTCTGAATACGTGTGCACTAGACAGCCAAGATGGAGAAGATGGACGATGCCAGGGGGGACCAAGTCAAGATCAGGAGGACTGGGGGCAAGCCCTGAGGCAGTGTTTACCCTTGAATCTGCAAGGCTGTCCCCGGGATCACAGCGCCTCCCACCAAATAGCCCCAGCAACTCTCTCGACCCTGGGAAACTGCCTCTCTGCTGCATGGGTCTTCCTAACAAGCCCCCGGGCTCGTCTGCCAGGCCCCCATCCAGAGCCTCCACAGGCTCCTAGCCTGGCCCACCCCTCAAGGTTCCACCAAGCTCTCCTCCTCTGCGGGCTCCCGGCATTCCATCATCAAAGTGTGTTCTGGGGCCACTTGGTTTGATATGTACTGTGTGTGTGTGTGTGTCTGCGCTTCTCAACCAGACTGCCAAGCTCTAGGCACATGGTTGAAGGGTCAGGAGGACACCCTACTTCCCACTTCTTATACCTTCAATCTAGAGACACAGCCATAAACCTGGGAAGGAGGACATGTAATCAATTTAGTCCACTAGGTCACGACCCTCTGTTAAGTGTTACTGATTCCAGAGGGGGGCACCTCCAGCTTCATTCCTGACAGAGACCGAGTCTCAGATCGATTCTAACTGGCTGTGGGCAGGAGACAGACGCCGAGTGTGAGGCGCCACAGGGGGATGGCGGGCTCATCAGCATGGACGCTCAGCAAAGGTCTGCGACGGTTACCTGACTGTGAAGGTGGGAACTGGGTTAAAGAGGACGTTCTTTCTCGCTTGACGGGAGGGCAGTAATTTCCATCTTCTCGGTCAGAATCTACAGAAAACGAGGAGGAGGAGGAGAAAATCAGGCTGCTTCCACTTTTACAACCAAACAGAACGAGACGTTTTAGAGATTTCCTCACCTTCTCCACCTTCGGGGCTGGAGCCTCCAGCTGGCCTCTGAAATGAGAGCACACGGCAGGGCGGTAAGCGAGGGCCGGGCTGCCCAGCCAGCACCCAGCAGCTTGAGTTCCGTCATGAACGCATCCTGAAACGCAGCGCTGAGGGCCAACTCCCTGAGCTCAGACACCCAGGTCGGATGGACTTTCAACCTAAGGCTCAAAAACGCCCCCCAGGAACCCTCTGTGTCTGCCTTACCAGGCCATGGGCCGAGGAGTCCTCCTGAAAGCTGAGGGCGCATTTACTGCACAAAGATTGGTTTCTCTGTCTCTCCACAGGTCACAGCTAACTGCGTGCCACCCCCTCAACTCAAGCACAGTGAAACGCTATCTGGCTGAAATTCATTCTGCCAAGAGCTGGCAAGCGACCCGCTCCACTCTGGAGGGCAGCAGGACCGTTTAAAATGTGGCCTAACACCGGGTCGCAGCAGTTCCCGTTCCTTGCCCTGGGCCGTTCCGTGGCGCAGAACCCTGTTTCAAGGTGGACCATTACTTCCAGAGCAACAGAGAACTTCCATGCCTTGGATCTAAGTCTGCTGCAAAGTGTTCAGAACACAGTCGTCCAGTGCGACAACTCTGCTGACCACACGACCTACCGAGAAATCGCAAGCTAAGACAGAAGGTGGCCAAAGAATTTCCTCCGTAACAACCTTTAGTTTTAGAATGTGAACAACTAGCCATCAAGAAGCCCTAAGATGAGCCCCGCTCCCACCCCCAGGTAATATCCACTCCCTCACAGACTTGCAACTCTCCAGAACCGAGCAGCCACAAGCAAATGTCGAGGGGTGAACAGCCCTCCTCCTGGCGCACCTGTATGCGAGCAAGCAGAGGAGCCAATTTTCTTATTTTCAGAAAAGTCACTAGGGGTCAAGTTTAGCCAAACGAGGACCACCTGCCTTGAGGAGCCGTTAGGGCTTAGAGGAGGCCTGCCTGGGAAAGTGCTCTGCAAACTGCAGGGCGGGGTGGAAAGGTGGCAACCGCCCTAAATAACGTAAATAATGGGCTGTGAGCAGGGCGCCGGCCCTGGGCAGGACTTTCTCCATAAAGGGCCACAGAAGACTTTCAGCTTCTCGGGCCACATGCATACTCTGCCACCTTAGCTTGCAGACAGAGGCCCGGAGTTTGTGGACCACGTCCTAAGAGACAGTAGAGAAAAGGATTCCAACCTGAACTCTCTCCTCCCGAGTGGGCCCACAACTTGGGTTTGAGTCAGAAATGCAAGCCTTTCCTGCTCAAGTCCGTTCTAAGCGCTCCCTGCAAGCCTCTGTGAAAGGGCCAGGAGGACCGCCATCCCCATGCCTGCATCGGGTGCTCAGGAGGCTCCGAGGAGGCCATCCATCAAAGTGCTTGGGAAACAAACCCCTCTTAACACAACAGGGATTTGACAGTCCTCGCGGGGACCATGAACATACCACTGGGCCCCAGATGAAGTGGAACACTGGAGGAGGAAAGCAGGCGGGCCCCAGATGGGCACAAACCAGCGGCCGGACCACAAGAGCAGAGTGTGAAGGTGCTCAACCCCTCTGGGAGGCCCGCAGAGCTTACTTTCTCCCAGCTCTGACACCTCCTAAAGCCACACCTCAGGCAAATCCTCTCCCTCACCCAGGCTTTGGTTTCCTTCCTTGGGAAATGGGGGTGCCAGCACCTCCCCCACAGGGAGATGGAAGGGGTCAGCGAGATAAGCAGGTGAGGCAGCCCTCGGTCTGACCCGACACCCGGCCAAGGCTGACACCTGGACTTGGGGGGTGCTCTCCCAGCAAGCTCGCTTCTGCTGGATGTTATGCCCTTGGGAAGAGCATGACAAGAGGACAGTTCATGTCCTGGGGCAGCCAAATGAGGGGTCAGGGTGGGGGACTCAGTCCTGAGCCCAGGACGAAGCACTGGGGGTGTTGCTGAGACACATACTCTGGCAGCGCTTTCCCTTCACTGGGTTCAGGCCTAGGGTGGTGTCTGAAAATGCAAAGCCAAGCCGTGGGCACAGCAGGCCTCTTCTCCTGGGACCATCCCCTTCCCTGGGTGACATCACGGAGGTGCAGACTACGGGTACCTCCTTCCAATTCCTTCACAGGGGTTGGGCCCACTCCCAGCTCCAGTCCCATGGCTCCTGGCCTCTCTCCTGTCATTCAGTAAGCATTCCGGCTGCACCAACCCCACACGTGGCAGCCTCTCGGATCCCATGGTATCTGCCGCTTGGAAAGCAACTCCTGGGATCTGGAAATGGCCTTGCAGACACTGCTCCCTCATCAGCTGGCCTCTTTTCACTCTGCTCGCTCTTCTCTGGCTTCTCACATGAGAACCCCTGCCCCCTGCGCCCCTCTGTATCTCTCACTCTGTGTCACCTGTGCCAGGGTCCCCACTAGCTTGAGTCCCAGGAGTGGCCCTCTGTCCACAGCGGGCCGCAGAGAAGCCGCTAAGGCACGTGTCCCTGTGTTACACACGGCCCTGCTTCCTGTTTCCTCAGCTGCCGAAAAGGGTATTCCTCTACCACCGCAGTCCCACAGAGGCCTCCACACCTACCTTCCCTTTGCCCCCCTGGCTAGCTGGGCTCATTTCCACGTGTGTGGATTTCCAGAAGTCTACAGATTTCCAATTTCATTCCACTGTGGCTGGAAAAGACCTGGCATGATTTCAGTCACTTTAAGTTTATCAAAACTTGTTTTGTGGTCTAGCAAACGGTCTGTCTGCCCTGGAGGACGTCCCGGGCACTCTGCAGCACAGTGCCCTCGACGTTCTCCAGGGCAGACGGCTCACTAGGCCAGCTGGGTTTAGAGTGTTGCCCAGGCCCTCTCTGTTCTCCTCCATCCTCCGCCCAGATGTTCTACTGACTACTGAAGGGGGGGCTGCCGAGCTCTCCAAGATGACCGAATCGTCTCTTCTCCCTTCAGTTCTGTCTGTTTTTGCTTTGTGTATTTTGGGGGTCTTAACGACACATAACTTTCTTATCTATGCCAACAACACCCCAAACCTCTCAGGAATCTGAGTTTCCTTTAGAGTTTGATGGGTGCTTGGGGCCCCTCCCCAGAAGTGGGTCCAGACCAGGAGCTGAGGCCTCTGGGTACCCCGCTGTCTGTGCTGAACCACCCCTCCTTGTTGTCACGGTGCAGCCTGTCTCCCCTGTTTTCTGAACACGGCAACACTGTTCCTGCCTCAACATTCCTTCTGTGTGTGCCCGCTCCCCCACCCCCCCAGGCCTGGGACGCGCTTCCTACAGGTCCGCTCAGTGTGGCCTCTCCAAGGCCTTTCCCAGCCTCCTCCAGGGCGAACCCGTGCTCACTCGCTGCCCTACCACCCAGCGAGCGGAAGCTGCTCCTCTACCTCCCTCGGGCCCCTACCCTGTTTTGTGTACCAGCTGGAAATGATCTAATGTGTCCGTCTGGCTGTTCTGCTCACAGCTGAGACACACAGCCCCCAGGATGCTGTGCACAAAAGACGATCAGCAGGTATTCACTGCACAAATGGAGCCTGAGTTGATCATAGCCCCTTCAGGGACCTGAAGAAAAGTGCCTGGCCAGACAAGATTCCGATGCAGGAGACCCTCAAACCCACACCCCAAATCTCTTCTAAGAGGCATGTGACTGGCCTCTTGGTCCTGGAAAGGCTAAGAGGCCAAGGCCAGGGGAGGACAACACAGGAAATTACACCACCAGGGATAACCTTCCAGAAGCTGCTGGAATCTCCTGTGGGGTCTGAACTAGCCAACTCAGAAGCAGTGAGGAAACGGATGCCAGCAACTTTCCTCAATAGGAGCTAGCACAAGGAAGCAAGGAGACGGAACGTATGAGGAAGTCACTTCTGCTTGCCTTTGGATATTCCAACTCTTCCAGAAATCCTCAACAGTGGCCAGCGTGAGAAGCCTGATGTCTGCACCCTCCACCCCCCCAACTGCGCTGAGGTCTGAGCTTGCTGTCTGGCTGTCTCGTGCTGTCTTCTCCCCAAAAGGGAAAGGTCTGGGGTGAAGTACCTCCCCTTTAAGCCACCCTGGCCCAAAACGAGGCCAACGCCGGCTCCACACACACTTTGCGCAAACACAGCAGCCTGGTGGTCAGGGACCACCCCTCACCCCAACCAAGGGAGAGGCCACTTACGGGTCAGCTGAGAGCAATGCCTGGGACACACATAGGGGTGCGCCCTGCAGCTGCAACTCCTTGGACCCGGGAAATCTACATCCGAAGCCACTGCCACGGGGACTCACGTGACTCTAAGTGCAGGCTTCCGGGATTCCTTTTTGGGGAGGAGCCAGGGCAGAAGCAGGTGTGAAAGTCCCATTTCCTCCTCTGCCTCTTTCCACACTAGAATCCACCTCTGTGAGGATTAGGGCTTCGGGATGATACCCAGGCGACACTGGGGTCAGTGCCCTTTTGGGACACCATGACGAACATATCCCAAACCAACACTTACATAAGGAGGCAGAAAAGAGGCCCAAAGAGAGTCCTTCAATTCACTTCCCTGGTGGCAGGAAGTGTGAACGAGTGAAGTGGGCTTACAGAAGATGCAAAGCCCCCCCCAGTGGTGGCTGCTAGGGACGGGTGGGAAGAATGGCGAGAGTGGCAGCTCGCTCTCCTCAGAGCCACAGGAACCTTGGGGGGAGCTGCTTATTCTGTGAGGTGCGCACATCCTTGCCAAGTACAAAACAGGTGGTAACGTCTAACCCAGAATGGGACCCTGGGACTGTAGATGTGGGAAGCTTCAGTTCTTTGTAAAGGATGGAACAGTGAAAATTTACGATCATTACATTTATCAAGGATCCCGCACCGCCCCCCCTCAAAGCCCCGAAAGAACATGGCTCTCATGAGGCTGTCTGGTGTGGCCTCGAGGAGGACAAAGGTGCTAGGCCAGTCCAGGGGAAGGAACGGAGCTGGCTGCTGTGTCTCAGAAGCTGACACACAGACACACAGGTAGAGTTAAGCAGGAATGAACAGCACTCGCGGCCTTCTTGACTTCTCAGAAAGGACCAGAAAACAAGACCACGCCAGACACCCGTTTGGTCTGCCTGAGCCTCGGTGATTTCAACGTGGACTGACCGGTTATAAAGCCCGCTGTCTGTGGCTGCAGGAAAATGGATGCCCGGGATGAAAAATCAATCAAGGGAGGAGCCTGTTGATTCGTCCTTGTCTTCAAATGGACTACTGGCCAATTCCATGCTCTTTATTCTGCTACTGAGGTGACCAGCTCAGAAGTTCTTACCAAAAAGGCAGACACTGAAGAAAGAAAAAGAGCTGTGGCCTCCAAAGGTCTGAATGTTGGGTGGGAGCAGAATAAGGGTCAAATCCCTTGCAGAAGCTGGAAGATGAGGGAAGCTGTCCAGCCAGGGGTCTGGTTCCAGAACCTGTCTAAGCTTCCTGGTGGGTCTAATAAACACATTTCAGGCTCCACAGGGCTTTGGCTCTGAGCTTCAAGCCAGGGGACTTAAGCCAGGCTCGGAGTAAGCACTAAGAGCTGCCTGCTTTCTCCAGATCAGAGAACTTAATCTGGATGTGGTTTGGTCTTCTCCAAGCTGTCTTCTGAGAGCCAGTAAGTCTGATATATAGAGGCTTGTTCCCGGTACTGTCTTCGATGGCCAGAGTCTGGGGAGACTGAAAGACGAGCAGGCCCTTTGTAAGCAACAATTCAGTGAGCCAGTTTATTATAAAGAACTCACAGCTTTGCATTCCCTCGAGAGACCATGCAATAAAGAGCAGATTAAACGTGATGGGCGAGACTGGCTGGGTAAGGGTGGGCGGTTTCCTGAATTCCAGTGTGGTACCGGGAAAGATCCAAATCTGTTTGGCTGCAAAAGCAACGACTCCTAGCTAACCAAAGAAACACCTCTGGCCAAGAGGAAGCTGGGATCCATCTGCCTTGATTTATGCCCTAAATGACCTAAAAAAACGTTTACTTTGCCTTGAACACGACTAATCACTAAAGAAAGCCAGTTAATGGCAGCCAGTGGTGACAAGCTGGAGTGTTCTGTGCTAGCCAGCTGTCACCAAATGATGCGACAGTGGCCCTGCTGGGACTTCTGATGGAACTGGGGATTCCTATAGTTACAAGTGCTAAAACCAAACAGCACATGTGTGTGTCATGTGCGTGGCCTTTGCTGTTCTGCTGGTACATTCATCAGCTGCTCCCCCCAGTCTTGACTTCCTCCCACAGTGACCCACAACCCATCCTGAGGTTCCCTACTGTTAACACTTGACCTTGCAGGGCCGGGCTGGGGATGGTCTGAATTTCATGGGATTAGAGCCTCTAACCCAAAGTCCACAAGAACTGAGAAGTCAAGTCCCATTGGCCAGGCCTCAGAAGTCCACATCTGGCCTGGCCACAAGCAGAAGGTGAGACCCCGTAGGTGCCTCTGGAGGAGCAGCTGCTGTGCCTCAACCTCTGTGACCTACCCACTTGCTACTCTCAACTGAAAAACCCTTAGCCCCTTCAGTTAGAGGCTGCTCTATAAGCTTGCTGTTCAAACCAGGCAGCCGCAAAAGGCCCTGGAGCCTCTTGGGCAGATCCACATGGTCATCTTTACTGGGAACTCAGGGAAATGAGAACATGATTTCCTGTGCTTGCGAAGGCTGAAGGCACAATAACTCATAATACCCGACTCAGAAGAAGGTTCCAGGAGCTGCTTGGCTCCCAACCGAAAAAGTGATCACGGCCTCATTCTTACTCTGTCAGCTCTAGTGCTCTCATGAGGGCTGCGCCCCTAGAATGCTTTGGTGTGAGTGCCTCCTGGCTGGAATCTTTACTGAGCCCAAACCCACTAGTATGCCATGAGGGACTGCCTCCTGTCACTCCCACCTGGCACGTGGTAAAGACTGTTCCTTCTTTTCCCACCACACACTGACTCCTCTCCAAAATGTTAAAACTGGCCTCCAACCTCACCTTTGTTGAACATCACTTCTTCCTGTGTGTCCCAGGGTTTAGTGGCTGTAACTGAATTTTAATGATTTCCTTAAGAACACAGGGAACTGGTGATGTGACACAAGGGATCACTAAAGTCTGGGATTGTGATGCCCTGGATGGCTGCCCAGTGCTTGGTGTGCAGAGCAGGGTCCCTTGCTTCCCTGCTTGAGAGCCATTTTTCCCTGCCATGAGAATGGGGGGGCTTAGGTACCCACATGGAGTTTTCAATCCTGAATGTAGGATGATGTTTACCTTTCCCATTTTATCAACCTCCAAACACTCAAGACATTTCTTGTTCTCGAGAGTTCACAATCTTCTCCACCTATAATCTTCAAAAGCCTTCTCAACACAAAGAGAAAGGGCTCAAGGGGTTCCCTCTGGATTCAAAGGAAGAGTCTTTTCTTCTTCCTGCTTTGATTGAAGACAAGCAGTTCACAGCCTAACCACAGTCCAAACACAATTGGTCTTGCAAAGCAGGACACCTCCTCTTCCTCTAGATCAAGGAAATCGGGGCTTCTGGTGTTTCTAAGACCCTGAACCTGAACGCCCAAATTCAGGGAGAGGAGAAAGAAAAATGGAAGGATGGAGAGGGGGTCGAATTTGATTTGGAATGTTCTACCCCATTCTTCAATCCCTCTTTTGACCCCTCATGTCTCTTTCAGGAAACAGGATTAGCTTCTCGCTATGGGTGTATACAAATTCCCCCACTCAGAAAGTCTCAATGTAAAAGGGGACTCAATCTTTCCTGACTTTTTGGCAGCAAGAATTAAAGGGAGCTGCAGAGATCATGAGCACCTGTTCAGTTCTCATCAGCTGCTTGTGGTTTAGGGTCTGGATCTGAGGCACCCGAAGGGAAAGGGGCCGATCTGGGTTGGGCCCCCCAGGCTGTGGAGTGCTGGGTAGAGGTGGACTTACCCCTGCCAGTTCTCGCGGGAAAGGAAGAAGCTGGGCTTCAGGAGTGCTGGCTGAAGCGCTAGCAGGGGCAGGAGGCTCTAGGGCATGCTCACCAGCTGACTCGGGGTGACCCGTGCCATGGTGGGGGGCCTCAGCCTCCCCCCGAGGCTCCTCTCCCGAATCCGACAAGTCTTTTTGCTCTGCAGAGGACTGGGAGCAAAAAAGACAATTTTCCTTCAATGTAAATAAAGGCTGCAAGGTGGGACGGGGGTGGGCAGGGATCAAAGGGCTGGAGACGCTCAGACTTCAGCAGCTCCCGCCTGGGAGGACGAGCCAAGAAAGCTGGGACATGCTGTTGTTTTGCTCAACAAAACTGGCCCTCCAGAATGAAAGAACAGAAAATGAACGTGGACTTGGCTGAGGTTTAATTTTGCAGGAGGCCTGGGCCCCCATTTTCAAAACAGGCAGCATGGAGCTACAGAGCTTATAGGCTATGAGTGAAGAACAACACTCTTGGTGGCCAAAATGGGGGCAGAGCCTCTACTGGAGGGGAACGGGGGCGACTATGTCTGATCGTCCCTAGAGGTTAATGACCCATCTCTGCAAGAATACTGATGAGGGAAGTTGGCCCTCAGCACCATTTCTGTCCACTAAGGTGGTGAAGGCAGGCCTGGAATAGCACACAGCTACAAAACGGGGCGTAGAGGGTTCACAGGCTTCTGCATTCTGCTAGAGTGCTTCCAGCACCTTTCAATTTGTTCTGCTTAAACCTGAGATCAAGGAAACGCTTTCTTGCCTCAGTGAGTGCAGATGTGTGGTGCCCAAACCAGCTGGCAGAGACACGGAGAGCTGGTTTTGTATCACATGGGGAGTTCAGTTGGCCTAGGATTCTCCCATGTTCACCCCAAACACCTTGGCAAGGGTGTATTTAGAAGACAGCCAGGGCAAGAGAAAGCTGGTTCTGGAAGTCTTTGTCCTTAAAAGTACAACACCCCTGGCATCCTCCGAGGTGGTTCCTGGGACTCTAGAGGGGCTCCCGTGGACCCAGAGCTCTGTGGCCAAGACTCTCTTCTTGAGGAATGGGTTACAAAGCTGGTGTCATGGAACAGATGGGCTCTGGTCCCCAAATCTCTTGCTTGGCATTGTTCACAACACACAGCCGTTTCTCTCGCTTTGTGAACTAAATGGCTACCCTGTCTTTCCACAGACCTGGCCACGTTTCTTCTGAGTGTGAAGTGACTAAAATCTCTTTAGATAGGGCTTGGGGGCTAGTTCTCAAAGCCTGATGGATGAAAGGAACTCCGTAAAGAGAATTTAAGAGAACTTTCAAACATTCTGAGGAAGGCAAAAGAAACAAAATGTTAACTCATCCATACATCTAAAAAAATCACCAAAATTGATTCGTCCTATCCAGGGGAGATCCACACACACACAAAGGCCTTCCTTCTCAAGCTGTTCCTCAAACCTGCTCAGGACATGAAGGCTGGTCCACGCGCCAACACCTGATAAGAGAAAATTAAACCCAGAGCTCTGTGGAAAATGGTCTATCTCCAACTGGAACCACAAAGGACTTTCTTTTTTTAACCCCTGCTTTTAGAGCATAAGTGTTCAAGTGCCCTGGAGGCACTGAACTGGAAATGAGGCCTAAACTGGAGGACCAAAAAGAAACACATATGCCATCCCAGCATTTTCTACTTGGGTCTGAGTGTTTTTGCTGGACAAGAAAAGTGAGCTCTAGAGAACCAAGACAGGACCTGTAGTTCTTCAACGTGTTTGTTAAAATCGGACATCAAGATTTTCGTAGCCTCTGACATCATCCTAAAATACACGTGGCTGACAAAACCCAAAAACAAACATGTGCACACAGGATGGGCTTGTTAGAGCAACAGTAAGCTTCAAAAGTAGGTCTGAACATACTGTGACAGCACTTTCAGGGACACTTTCCTTCCTGCTCAACAGCATTTCTGCAACAGCTTTCTTTCTCCCAAACAGGTAACACCCTGCAAGGGAGACCTCAAAGCCTCACCTGTTCAGATGAATAAACTTTTGGAAGATAAAGTATCCGAAAGAAACAGTCGTCACAGTCAATGAGACCACCACCTTCTAAGAAGATTCGAAATCTCTTCACATCAAAAAGAAAAAAACTGTCTCCATGCAAGGCAGTTAAGAAAAAAAAGTTTCATTTTTGCCACTAAAACCAGAAATGGGTAAATGCAAGCAGTTTATGAGGAGCGCCCTCCTGAGGAAGTGTGAGAACATGGAAGGAAGTGCACTGTCAGCCGGGCTCTGGGCCTGGATGTTAGGCGTCAGGACTGGAGTTGAAGCCGACAACCGCTTTCTCCAACCGGGAACCAGGAACAACAAGGGGATTTGACAACCTGTCCTGAGACCAAGCGATGCCACTGGTGGGCCACCGCCACCAATCTATAGCCTGCTGTAAATGCCGCTTGGGCCCTGGATGGGAAGGACAGAAAACGCCATGTGGCTTTGCTACTGAACAAAACAAAACAAAAAAACGCCTGGGCTAGCAGCTTCATTTTTTTCTTTTCGATTTCAAATCTTTTACCTCAATCATGCTTCAGTAATAACAGCGGGGCCTGTGGCGTGCTCTCCTTGTGGGGGGGGGGGGGGGGGGGGGCGTGAGCTCTGAAGCGCCGCCCACTGGGTGGTTTAGAGATTGTTCGCGGAAAGGGAAGTCAATGGTCCCACAGCTGACGATGGGACTTCTTGATCTTTGTGGATCCAAGAAATGGCTCAAAAAAGAGCTAGAAGGGACATTTTGGTGACAGTGAAGACAACATAGTTATGGACTATATATGCTGACGGACATTTCTGACTTCGCGGTCGTTTTCTCAGGAGCCACAACAGCAGTGGGGCCACGAGAGGAACGCTCCTAGTCCCGGGTGCCGCCTACGGCAGGATTTAGGGGAGAAGCATCAGATGGGCGCCACTTACAGTCGGGTGCTTCTGGCATTTACGACAGACGTCCCTGGCGAAGCCAGGTGAGGGACACTCAAAGTGTCCACGGTACCATTCTTTCAACTTCTCTGAGGACTTGAATATTTTCGAAATACGAAGTTGAAGAGAAAAGGAGCAACCAGCCGTAGCAACCCATGTAGCCTGTTCCCCGCTCTGCCTCTGCAGTGTGAGGGGCAGCCGGGCAGGAGGTCGGTGAGAGAGACAGGACCTGAAAGAGGCTCAAACTCCTGTTTCTGTCCGAAGTGCCACAGCTGCTCCCTGCAGCTTCTGCCTGCCCATCTCCCCTGAAATGGGAAGCCACGGAGTTGGCTGTCTCAGCTACGTGGCTTGCTCTCTGCCTTACTTCCGAACTGTCCTAAGCGGCAGAGAAAGAAAGGAAGATTCCACCTCCACCCGCAGCCCAGAAAGCTGCCCTCGCGGACAGTTACGGAGGCTCCTCCTTTGTAAACACGCAGAGGTTCACTGGGTCCGGCCGGTGATGTTGTCCCAGAGGCATGAAAGGAGCGGAGAGCTGAACCCTGAAGAGCTGGAGATCAGTTATTTTTAGAAGCCCATTTAGAGTTGGCTCTGAGTCAATATTTTGATAAGAACTACATTTGCACATTTTAAGATGACAATGAGAAGTTTCCTAGCTACTCTTCTGATTCAACTTCACCCCAACCTTTTGGAGGTAATTACATGCAAGTTAGCCTCTGAATTACAAGGCAACAGACAAGAACCACCTCAACTGTGAAAACAGTACTGAAAAATTCGGCCAGACAAATATTACATTTTTAGTGTTTCATCCTGCTGCTTGTCCGAAAGTCTTAGGTTTAAAGAATTATCAATTCCTATTACTTGTTTTAAGTCTGGGGTTGGAAAACTTTTTCTGTGAAGGGTCAGCTGCTAAATATTTTTGACTTTGTGGGCCATGTCTCCATCCAAATTACTTCACTCTGCTGTCACAGCGGGAAAGCAGCCTCAGCTGCTGGGAACAGGGTGGGCATGGCTGTGTGCCAATAAAACTTTATTTACAAAAACAGGCGGTGATGGCAGGTCTTAGTTTCCTGACCCCTTTAAAAGTGGTTCAAACGATCATAATAAAATTCAAAACTCTAGAAAATCCTGAGAGAAGCAACTTTAATATCTAAAACAGAAATTGAACACAGGCATTTCTAAATGCTAGCAGAAATGCATCAGCCCCTTCACAGTGACTGAAGCTCCAAAAGACAAATGATAAAAAAACACGTAATTAAGTTATATGTATTGGTCAGGGCCCATGGAAGAAGAGACCGCAGAGGCTGATTGATGTGTCCTGAAAATACCACCTGGAAAACCAAAACAAAACAGGAAGAATGTTTCCTCGGGTGTTGTGATTCTCTCTTTAGCAAAAGAATTAGCAACGGGAAAGTTTAATGTGAGGGGGGTAAGCCTAGGAGATTAGTCCCGGCTCACACAGAAGGTACGCTGAAAGGGGGTATGTGTTGGGCAGCCACTTCTCCCTCCTGACCTCCCCCCCGTCCCACACACACATGCTCTCTTCCTGGCACAGTACTTGAACGACGTCCTGGACAGTGTGGGCCACACAGAAGTCTGGCCTCTCTTCTCTGACCGAGGGATGGGGTCTAGGAGCAGCAGCTGGGCTGCCAGGAGTCCCAAATTCGCCAGACCAGCAGCCCCCAACCTCAGAGCTGGCCACCCTGCCAGGGGACTGGGAATTCACCAGAGCATTCTCTCAAAGGCTGTTCTTATCAACAAGATGCAAACGGATTTCAAAACACACCGAATCCAGCGCGGCACTTTGGTCCCTCACTCTGAAATCTTGCAATGGGTAAGATTGGGGCAGGAGTGGGAGAGACTGTCCATTTGCTGGACAAACAGAATCCTCATAAAAGCTTGGGAAGCATCAACCACAGAACATCAACTAACTTTGGACACAATCCCGACCTTCCACACTGATTTGTCAGGACGGACACAAAATCAACGACTTCCAGGTAAATGGCAGCACCTGACATCGGAATGCTACTGCCACACCGATCAGGACTTGAACAAGCTGCCAGCTCACTGCTACGAGTCAGGCAAAGTATTTCCAACGTCAGGGCAACCAAGACATTTAAAATCCAAGAGGGGGAAGCAACGAGTAACAAAGATGGATGGTAAATACATAATGCAAGCCAACTAGTAATTACTCTAAATGCATTTATGCCAAGTTGGTTGGGGGTCAGAATATCTCCCTAAAATCTTTAAAGATCCTGTCTTCCCCCTTAACCACCATTTCTCCCTCCTTCCCGCCCCTCTTCGTTCTACCTGCTCTCTCCTACTCTTTCTAATGTACACTATTTCTAAAATGAAGCATTAGGAATTAGAAAGTATCTTTCTGCCACTGTTAAAAGGTTTCTGAGCCCTTTCCACACACGTCCCCGTCTTAACCTCTCACCATGGTAACTTAAAGCCACAGGACCTTTTCCCTTCAAGCTCCGGGGGGAGGCTTGAAAGACAGAAGCACCCTTGGCCATGTAACCTGGGAGAGCCCTCTGGGGAGAAAATAAATTAGAGTAATCAGGTGAAGAGAGAACATACCGGCCCCTTACCTTTTGTCCTTTATCCTTCTGAAACACAAAGACGGGCGGAGCAATGGCAGGTTTTTCTGCAAAAAGAAAAATTGGTTTTTTTCCCCCCAACATTATAGTCATATGGTAAACAAAGCTACTTTTGTACGTAATAAGTTAAAAACAAAAAACAAACCCAATATAAAACTAGTAACTCCAAAGAACATTCAATCACTTAGAAAACGGTTTCTTGAAGTTGCTGCGTGGGCGTGTTGTTTGTGAAAATCTGACACCTAATGTTAGGGTATGTGCACTGTTCTGTGTGCATATTATACACCAAGAAAAAGGTTTCAAGACTCACTTAGAACAGCCACGTCCGTGACTGGGGCGGGGGAGGGGGGGAGGGCGTGCGGCAGGCTGCCGGGCATCAAAGGCGCTGCCACCATTTGGCGCCACCAACCGTGGCCTTGCAGGAACGAGGCACAGAGATGTCAGATGGGGCACCTCCCCAATTTCAAACTCTGGAGACTAGTTTAGGTTTTTTGAACTTCTAGGCCAGTGGGGGCTTGGGAATAACCTGACTGCAACCTCTGCCTACAGAGCTCATGCTCTTTGGAGAGCTTACCCTGGTTGAGTCACCTGACATTCCACCTGGATCTTGAAGCGAGATTACCCATTAAAAAAAAGAATTTAAGGAGTTGGGAAAAATCTGAGTCCATCTCGCACAGTGGTTGTTGAAGAAACTCTTTGAAATGTTCTGTCACGTGACGAGCCCAGGGTGGTGCCACCTGTTGTTCTCAGGCAACCCCATTTGTCTCCTATCCAGGGGCAGCCAAATCTACAGCCCTCTGCCACCTGCCCCCGGGGTGGAGGGCAGCTTGGCGAGCCCCTGCTGCCAGCTGGGGCATTCTGGAGGAGGATGACCTTCACCTGGGGGAAGGTCCAGATGCTGCCTGCCTCACTGCCTTGAGGTTGGGTGTGGTGGTTCTGGGTCCACGCATGAATCCTATGGGGTGCGCCCAGGGCCCCCGTCAGCATTCAAAGTCCTGGGAGCAGACAGTGGACGGGAAGCAAGGGGGATCACAAATTTGGGGAGCGCTGCACCGCTCTGCTGTCATGGAGCCCTCAGTCCTGGGAAGCCAAGATTACCAGGAACCTGCACTTGCACACAGCTTTACCCAGCAGGACTGCTCCGTGGGAGGGGAGAGGATTTTTGGTTTGTGAGCGCACTCGTGTGGGGAGCTGGTCAGAGCAGCCAGAGTCAGGGAAATGTCCCTGAGAAGAGGGAGCTGCTGAAGTCCAAAGACAAGAGCCCGGAAGGGAGCGGCAGGTGTGAAAATACAGCTTGTAAAAGTGACAGGGATCCTAGGGGCAGATGATCACCATGCTAAGGATTCAGGGAAGTGCTGCAGAAGGAGTTGGGTTCAGGTTCAAAGAGAGAACAGTCTGGGGAAGGGGGCAATATGGACAGACCAGTTAGGAGGGAATGGCGATCACCCACAATAAAGCCGGGGAGGGGAGGAGGTCCGAGGAGAAAGAGGGCCAAGCCTGAGACAATCAAAAGGACATGGTGCCACTCCCATCCCACCAAATTCCCACTCCTTGGAGAAGCAGAACAGATACTGGTCTTGACTTTGGGGCAACAGCCCACTGATGGTGGCCATTCCCTCCGCCGTGCACACTGAAGCCATGCCGCACCTGAGTCCCTGAGTCTGATTCCCTGTGATAGTCCTCAGCACGCACAACCCAAGGCGAACACCGGGGTAAACGACCTGTATGAGACCAAAGCACTACAAGGGAGGAGGGTGGGGGCGGAAGGCTTGCGGACAAGGCCTCCGTGGTTCCCTAAGCAGCCCTCTCCCCGCACCGGGGCTGGTGCTGCTTGTCACCCACCGGTTGAAGGAGGGAATGAAAGTGCCTGTGCCAGACAATAAATGACAGCAAAGGGGTGCAGGAGGGACTCTGGACAGCAGCAGCTGATCCACACCATTTCTGCCTTGGGGAATCCCAGAGAGCTTCCGGCCCTGCCCCTCACCCCATGAGCCCAGCATCCAGGGCTATAGATCCAGGCCTGAAGCTCACTTCTGTGTTCTACTCCCAGCCAGCTGCAAAGAGTGAAGGCACACGGGAAGGAGCTGGGAGTCTGGGCCAGCCCAGCATCCCTCCAGCCCCCCATTTCTTTAGGGGACCATCCCTCCTTTGCCCCTGGCTCTAGGTCTGAAGAGGAGAGTACTTCGAACTCCTGCCCCAGGGGACACCATGGCATGTGAGTAAGGCCAAGCCACTGACAGTGAAAGAGACTCAGGTCCGGGACTTTCGTTGGAGCTCCTGGGGAAGGGGGTGCTCTGTTTCTCCTGGGGCAGCAGGGCTGGTGGGAGGTAACCCTGGGGTTGGGAGCAGTCTCATGTCACCAAAAGGGACCTTGGAGCAGAGTCAATCCAGTGGGAAGCAGAGCTGCAGATGGAGGAGGAAACTGAATCGGAGACACTACTCAAAGCTAACCCCACCCCCACTGACTTTTCAGTTAAGCCAACAAATGCTGATTTTTGCTTAAGCCTGCCTTAACTGTTTCTGTCCTTTCTCTAACAACCTCCAGCCTGGGAGGTGAGGCCTAGCCACTGTAGACTTAATTAGACACACACTATACTCTGCAGAAGAAACCTTGCCTGGCCTCACAGTGAAGCAGAGACACGTTCTCTCACAGGAGGTACCACCACCAGATACACTAGGGATTTATGGGTTTATGCTCTGTCTCCCCTACCACAACATCAAATCCATGAGATTGGAGGGCGTCTCATTTCCCTGGCTGCCCCGTGGTCTAAGAACAGTACTTAGCATCAAGAAATACTGGACGGAGGGAGGAGTAAGGGCAAGGAGGTACTGGAGGAATGGACAGAAGGCCACTGAGAAAGGACGAGAACAGAGGGAGAACCATTTGGATGGTAGGGGAAGAGCTTTCTTATGTCGGCTGATCTGCAGGCACCCAGAAGGGGCTGCAGAGATTCGGGCAAACCTGAGAGGCCCAGGCTGCCTCTGGGTCCCTGGGGCAGGACAAAGACACAGGGCAGGGTCCTGGCAGGAGCTGGGAGAATCCCATCTGCTGGAAGAACAATGACACTGCAAGTGGGCACGGTGCTCAGCTGGGGGCAGACGGAGGCCACGGAAGGGACATGGGGTCCGAGCTCTGAAAGCAGCTTCCCAAAGAACTGGAATTCTGGGTGAGACCCACGCAGAGACTCCCTCACTAACTCCTGCCTGCAGGCTACCACTACTGTAGTTAAGACCCTCCTTTCTCCACCTCTGCTCTCATTCTCTTCAATCCAGCCTCCGCACAGCAGCCAGAACCACTGGTGTGAGACCCACACTTAAAATTCAGCACTGCTCCCCCAGACTAGGGTCGGAGCTCCTTCCAACAGGCCACCGCGGCCTGACCCCTACGGTGGCACTGAAGGGCCTGCTGTCCCCTGCACGCCCCGTGCTTCTGTCGTACTTCTGGCCTTCTGCCTGGAACACATTCTCACCTTCTCTTCTGTGGCCAACACTCATACAGCTACGGGCACCGTATCCTTCAGGAAGCTCCCAGTTTGCGCTACATACCTGCCCCCGGTGCCCACAGGGCATGCTCTTGGCTTCTACCCCACCACGGGTCACAACGAGGCTACCTGTCAGGGAGGCTGAGAGACCATGGTCTGGCCTCCAAAACAGCTCTGCACCCCAGCCCAGCAGCCAGTGCGCACCACAAAGAACCATCCAATAAATGTTTGAACTAAACCCCCTCTGCAGGTCTTCACACATGTACACTAGCTGCTGTGTACTCACATAAATATTTACTAAGCCCTTATTCTGTGCAAGGCTCTACAGGAAAAAAGGGGAACAGGAGTCAGGGGCAGAAAACCTTGGGGTCAAACACCTGATAAAAAGCGATGGGTGTGTCTGTGCACATGGCCTGGAGCTTGTAGGGGGTTATCTGTTCATCTCCTCGCTGGCAGCATCTACCCCTGCATCATGAGCCCCAGAAGAGCGCAGCCTCTGTTATGTTGACTGTGGTACCTTCAGAGCCACACACATAACAGACGCTTGACAAGAAGTCAGAGCCGATGAAATGTCGCTAGGACCGGTGAGGTCAGGAACCACCAGGACCCTCACTGATGGATGGTTTGGCGGTTATGACAAACCCAAACACCACACTAACTAAAATGTAGCAATGAGCCTCCATCAGTTCTCCACCAAAGACACAAAGCACGAGGGTCACACAGATTTAATTTCCGCTGGGCTCCAGGAGGGCCGAAGTTCACGAGCTGCAAATTAGCACTGACATTACAAAAGGACAACTCGAGCGTACCCCATTCCGAGGAGGATTGCTCCACACTCGCCCCAGCAGCCTCAGCCTGCATTCTTAACTGGCCCCTATCAAACTGCTTCTGGTTGTCACTGGACAAGCAGACTTCGCTCAGCCAGCTGAAACCCAAGTTTGGGGAATGAGCAGGGGACAGAGCAATGAGGCTTCTGTAAGTTGCCTGAATTCCCAGCCCAGTCTATCACAAGTGAAGGGAAAACTACCACCAGAGATTTCTAGAGAGACCCCCAACTATTTGATCCAGATTCTGTCAACCACGTGTTTTGTTTTGTTCCTATAAAATGCTCTTTGACTGAATCAGTTTGTGAAAAAGCAGCCCTCCTGGGGCACTGGCTCAAGACATCCGCATAGTGAGGGTTAAGAAAATCAACAATAAAGAAACCTGTTTAACCAAATGTTCTCCAAAGTTATTTGACTAGGGAACCCTTCTTTCCTCCTCCCTGACATGAGGCCTGAGAACTGTATTCTGTGGATGACTGTGGCCAACACTGGTGTGTGAAGTAGGGTGGGATTCAGAGCCAAGCGGCCTCAAACTACAGTCCCGCCTCTAGGTGACACATGGGAGGTGCTTTGCCCTCATCCCAGCTCTCCATGGTGTTGCACGCCAAGTCCAAGGTGGCTGCTGCTACATTCAAAGCCTCCCTCACCCTCCTCCACATGCCCCCGCTCAGCTCACACATTCCAGACGATACCTAGCCTGAGCCCCAGTGTGGTCCCAGGTGCTGCTCAGGCTGCAGACGG